GCAGTGTTCACACTTTGTAAGATGTTATATATTCACACTTATGTTATCAAGAGACTCAAAGTTGTTGAATTTATCAAGCCCAAGCTATTGAATTTTTTTAACAAGATGAGCAAAGCTTTAGCAGTTCTCTCCCTCTGTGACACAATCTTTCCATTTTGCCGTTAGTAAAGCATAACGGTACACCCAACAGTGGTGAAATTCTGCGACAGGATCTAATTTACTTTCAGTGTTACAAGATGAGCCAACAGTGTAAAGAATAAAAACAAGTCATTTGCCCAAGGGGTGGCTTCTGAAGTCAAGGTTGTAATGAAAGAGAAATAAGGTGGGTATTTAGCATTCCCAGCTAGACCCTAAAAAGTTTTCTGTATTACAGATCTAAGTGAAAAATCATTAATTCAGTCAGAGAGCTGCTTAGCTCTCTAAGATTTGAAAGTGTTTCAGAAAATGCAGTAAAATGAATCTCAGTTAAGAGAGGGTTTCATTAGAAGGCTGGGAACTTTATCTAAAGTAAGCTGAAATGCTTTTGCATTCTCTCCTGTTTTCATTGGAAGGAGACTTCACTGACAGAGTAGAGAATCCGAATGTTTTGGACTACAATTTCTATCACCCGTGACTATTGGAAATGCTGGCTGAGGTTGTAATCCAAAACATCTGTAGGGCACCAGGCAAGGGAATGCTACCATAAAATGACTGTTTAAAAAAGAAATAAAGAAACCCAGAGCCACACATTATTCTTCATGTAAATAAAATGAATTTTATTTATTGACGTTTAGAAAAAGTAAAAAAAATTCCCATAGTTATGCCTTGTAGTGAGCCAGACCAATGGCTCTAGCTGGTTCACCATGGCTTACCCTGTCTAGCAAAGGCACTGAGGCAAAATTATTTTTCTTGGAATCACCTTCTAAGTTTAAGCTTCAAAATTTATATATTTAAATTACTGAGTTGACTCACGGGCCCTTTGCAAGACAGGTTCCCAACAATTGCACTTTAGTTTGAAAAAGATCTATGGGTCAGTTTCTTCAAAGCAGCAGTCACCACCATGGCAGATTATAAATACAACTGGGAAATGTGCAAATTAAGTAAGAGATGCAAACAAAATAACCCCAAATTACGTTCAAAATGTCTTGCAATATTTGATCAAGGTTGCATATATTTCCTTTCGTCCAGTAACCACTCAGCCCTTGTAGTGTTCAATTACAGCTCAAACCACTCTCAGATCAGCTGCATCCAGCACCATTTTTTAAGGGCTTCTATTCAGACTAACAGCAATCATATATTACAAAGCTGTTGAATAGCATAAAGTGGAGGTTTTTACTTTCAAAATATGGACCAAAATCTAGCCCCACCATTTGAGAACTGATCACAGTTTCATATTTTTGCAACACACAGGCATGAAAATTGGCAAATCAATCCCCTGCCAGTCTGATACAGGGTCTGTTTTGTCTGCACAAAAATATAGTTAATATAATAATCTGGTCTCAAGGTGCTTCCCAAAAAAATGTATCCATAGTTTTATTAGGTGTCATGTTGCACTTTCAAACAATATATGCAACTGCCTGCCAGTCTTGCCACTGCGTAAGTAAAAGCAAAACTTCACCTTGTTCTAGTACTTGCTTTATAGTGCTACACAGGGAAAAATGATTATTCTTAGAAAACATGGATCAAACCGGAAATTTCACTTGCTGTTCAAAGATTCTAATAATGACCTTTTTTGTGGGAGGAAGATTGCTCTTGCTTTTCTTATTTCCATGAAATGGAAGATGCTATACAGTTGACTGAAGCTAATGAACATGCAAACATCTCCAAGACCACTATGTTTCAGAAACATTGACTATGGTTTGTCTGTGGAAAGTGTGGCAACTTAAGATTTGAATTTATGCCATCCTCCTAAGTAGATTTCTTTTTGATCAGCCTTTGCTCATGCACTGTTTGCCAGAAGCCCCCAACCAGATTTTGCACTGAATGGTCTGTTTCCATGTTTTCTACCACTTTTTGCCCCCTTTATCCTCCCCATCTGTATTGGATGGAATGTGTGGAATGGAGGCTGCACCTGGGAGCTTGAAAAAGGTGAGAACACAGGGCACCGTGCACAGAATTGTGATGATGACAGTCTCAGGATCACAATGGCACAGGACATCCATCTCACATGACTGCAGACTATCATGATACACAAGGAATAATGATCATACATGTTTGGTACAGCTTTTCCAGAAACACTAGGTGGTGGAGCCAGGGCAGAATCACTGCAGGCTGAACCCTGACAGGAAAAGGAAGAAGGCACCATGCATCTTCTAACTCTCAGCTCCAATGCTGATGCAGATCCAGTTGTTCCATCAGCAATTCAGGCCCCGACAGACAGCAAACTACCCAGAATTCATGTTCATCATGGCCAATGCCTATCTTCTCTCCATTTCATTTTGGATACAATCCTATTCCCACTGCACCCCAGTCTGATTCCACTAAAGGGTACTACAACAAAACCTTTTCACGGTGCCCAGTAGCATACCAGACACCCCAGCTTGTAGATTGTACACCTACAAAGGCTGCATTCCTAACCCTGCTTGCCTGGGAGTAAGCCCCCTTGAATTCAATAGGTTTATTTCCAAACAGACGTGCTTAGGATTGCAGCCTTAACTATTAAGCCACTCCATGTACAATTTTAATGTTTTTGTCACTGTCTCGCAGTACATTCCAGCTGATTGCTGAAAAAAAAGGATTAGCACTTCCTCCCTACCCCCAATTTCTATTGGAAACACTACATCTAAGAAAACATGCTAAAGAGCTGGCTTTTTTTCAACTACTGAAGCATATTGTATCCCAACTTCATATTTATGTCAGCTTCTGCTACCATTTCCTTAGCACTGCAGTATCTTGAAATGTTTTCAAAGCACATAATACACCTGACATCATAAAGAGAGTGCAAAATATCAAAAGGTTTATCTTGGGCATTGTTATTCTTATGACAGCTGTAGCACAAAGGGTCCATGGCTAAACACAATTCGCTGGTGTTATTTCTTCTCTCCCCCCCCCCCTCGCTCGCTCACACACATATTGACCAATCTGGGTTTTTAATGTGACACTAACGTTTTTGTGCTTTCTTCCTGGCATGTGGTCAAGTGCATTTAATAACTGCTGCCAACAGTGAAAAAAATAGTTACAGCTGTAGCAGATATGATACAGGTCCCATACTGCATTGCACAGCCTTCATTTAGTACTCACAGGGTTAGGACTGAAGATCCTTAAGAGGAGTGGAAGGTGATTTTATCTTAACTGCAGTATGACCGGTTTAAATGCAATTCATAGGATTTTGCTTACCTTCATATGCAAACATGAAACAAGTGGTCATTTAGTTTCTATAGATACCATTACAACTTGTGTGGCTGAAAATTACAATCTTGTGAGAAACACATACCTTACGAATTACTCTTCGGAAATGTAGCCCATTTACACACACAAGAAGATTAAAGCTAAAATCCTATGCACACTTACCTAGGAGTGAGCCCCAGTGAACTCACCTGGGATTTGTACTGTATAGGATTTTATTATGTCATGTTTCCTATATTGTGTCCAAAACAACTAGCAAAGCTAAATTTGTTTTAGAAACTAGTTTCGCTGTAACCGTACTTTACATCATTCATTTCTTTAAAGAGCCTAGATCCTCACTGTTCATAAGAATGCAGGAAGCCGCTGGATTTTGCCATATCACAGGGTGCCCAGCTGTGTGCACATTTACTTGCAAGTACGGCTACAGTCCTTCAGATACTTATTTGGGAGTAAGTATCACTGAATGCAAATTGCATAGGGTTACGCTCCATGTCCCACTGCATGCAGTAGAATGTAGTTCCAAGTAAGACTGAGCCTGATTGCAGCTATAGCATTTTTATGCCCCTTCTGGCAGAATTTCAAACTTGGCATTCCATGTTGTGCTCTATATGGTCTTTCATATATATTGCTAAATATATAAAATACCTGCTTGTGATAGAATGACTCAATAATACAGCCCAGAAAATAGCATTATGCAGGGCTCCCATACACACATGTAATTGTAATGTAAAGGAAATAGATTAAGAAATCCTTACACCACCAAAAAGTCTGTGCCTTGCCTGAAAAGTTATTTTCACTGCTTTACATTTACCTTACTGTAAAGGGTAGATAGGTTTATACAGAAACCACTGCAGTCCTTCTGTTGGCCCTTTTCACTGTAATATTAGCAATGTCTATCATTTGCCACACATCAAATATGTGTGCATGTAGCTCAAATGCAGAGTAAGGAGAACACAAAATGATGAGCGAGCTTATTTCATGTTGTTATTAGATCAATCCACGTCAGTCAAGACCATTCACAGAATGACAGGGCCATCAATAAAAGTTCAGCTTTCCACAATATCTCTAGGCTATCCCAGCCACCAAAAACATTTTCAATTAACAAGCCAACAGCAAGCCAACTATACTCTATTTCATTTCAACTTGGCACACATATCTATTCATACAACTGATCTGACCTTACCATTAAAATGATTGACAAGAATTCAAAATCCCAGTGCCTGGAGCATTCCATACAGTACTCAGAGAACACAAGAAACTAATGGAAAAAAATCAAACAGGTTGCTAACTGTGTGTGTGGTGTTTTCCTTGGCTTTTTTGCCCCTCATTGTAGAAAGTACTGCCAAGCCTACCAAACTTGCTAATCATTATAACCCATTGCTAATATTTAAACTTAGAAAGCTCACCAACTTAGCTATCCTAAGTGAAAACTAGAAATAACAATGCAAGCATTATTCAAAAAATTCAGAATCAAAAGATTCAAGTCTCTTCTTATAATTCACAAGCAATCAAAATTAGTCAAGCAAATATGTCAGAGTTTCTTAAATATGCAAAATAATGAACACCACATATTCCTATATATATGCACAAAGAGAGAGATGCACACACAATCTGCAACAATAATGAATTGTCCATACCTTGATCGTCTTGGATGACTGGCATTTGACGTGATGGGACACTGTTGCAGTTTGGTTCATGTTTCAGCACCCAGGATAGCGCACAATTCCACAATGAGTTATGGAGCAAATGGCTAGAAATCCGTCCTTCTTGCTCAGACTTCTGCTGTTGCTCTCTCTCTCTCTCTTTCTTTCTCTCTCTCTCTCTTTCTTTCTCTCTCTCTCCCCTCCTACGAGTGCTTATGGCTCTAGAGGCTGGGATGCTGTCAGATTTGTACAAGTCTGAATCTCAGCCTTAAACTCGAGTATTCATTTGATTCATCGTTCTTCAGGTTTCTGAAGCCTCTGCACACAGAGAGCTCAAATGCTGCTTCCATTCACTTGCACTGCACCTCTCCAGCACTGAGAATGTGACAGCTCCTCAGCGCAGCCAATGATCTCGACTCACCAACCCTTTGAAAAGAACAGAATACCAGCAAACTGCATCAGTATTTACTGCAGCCCAGCACACTCTCTCCTTCCTTGAAATTAATCTAACTCAGGGGGTAATTACAGATTAGCCTTCAAATCCTAACTGCACAAACACAACGCACCACAGACACATACATACACACAATTTCAGTGTTATCAATTAATTTCGGTTTGCTGAGGTAGTGCTTGGAAAAGTAGCTGAAATATATGCAGACAATGAGACATCCCATCCAGATGCTTGCATCAAAACTCCCTCCTAATTTCTCTTTTGGAAAATCTGAAGGGAACCACCTGTTCTTCAGTCACACCATACACATTCCTGTGTTGAAATGGCCCCATCCCTTGGCATTAGGTTAGTACCTGGACTGTATTTTACTACAGAGTTCTCATGTTAAAACAGGATGCTGATATTATACCTTTGATCCTTTTCAAGTAGGTATAAGGGTTACACTATGCAAAATCAGATCAAATCCCTGCAGTAGTTCCCCACTTCTCCATTTCTCTTACAAGGGCTACAACAACTTGACTGACTTTCTTGTGGTCATTTTCTACAGTTCCTATGGTGCACAGAAATACACCAAAAATGAGGCAGCTGTATTTGTAGACATGACAATCAACACCACATATACTGAGGTGTAAGTGTGAACATGACAAACAGAGACAAAGGGAGAGGGACAGTATAGTTTATTGTTGTCATTGTTTCTCTTGTAATGCTCTTCACTGAGCTAAATCAAGTCAAATATCTTGATTTGCAACTTCATGGAAATCAGGTAAATCAGCTCATTCCTGCTTTATACACAGAGGTTGCTTTCATTTGATGCATTTATTTTCTTGATATCACATGCTTAGCTCATCACAATGGGTGATATGAAATATGAGTCATATTCAGAGCAGACTCTGCTTTGAATATGACTTAGTCAGATTATCACCAAGAATCTATAAGGATGATCTTGAATATTAATGTTTTCTATTATGCATACAGTCATCCAAATCTATACATGAGACATTCAGTGAATGGGAATGTTGATGTAAATAGTTAATCCACGCTAATCATCAGGTGAAGATGTAGGAATAAATAAGAAATTCTGTTGCCCATTTAGTAAAATTGAATGTTATTACCCTTTTATGTCATGAGCAAAAGAAATGTGGCAGAACAGCCTCAGCTTCATTTATAAACAGGGTGGTCATGCTTTTAAAGCCCAGAGGTCTCCCGTGCCTTGGGAGGTTGATGATGTCACTGCATGCCACGCTAATGACAAGACCTATCATAGCCTCACAACTTAACAGAAATCAGCTTTTTGTAAACTGCTTTGAAGCTTTGTTGCACTCAAGTGGTACAGAAACCTCATGAAATTTAAAAAAGAAAAAAGAAATTTAAAGAAATCAATGACCTGTTAATGGATTCTGATATGTCCTGGTCATGATTCAATTCCACCTATAACATGAACTGTATATTTTGGAGCAGATTCCATTTGTACAGAATTTGGCTGCATTTCTTCCTGGCAAAGTGATGTAATTCACTTGGGTAACACGTCACTCACTGCTGCTACTTGTAATACCAGCACTAAACAAGACAGATATGTCAAAGCAGAATGGACCATTGTGTGTGTAAATGTGTGTGCTTGTATGTGCAGCTAACATTTCCTCTGTGGTAGCCTATACAAAACAGACAACCTGAGAAACAAAGCCTACATTTTCCATATCACTTCTGTGAGAAATTACATGTCACATCCTATGAGGCTGTGCCTATGCTGGAACCTTAACTAGTACAGGCTAATAATACTATATAGTGTTTGTTTGTTATTATGGTATGTATTTTTTGTGTTTTTGTATTGCAAGCCACCCTGCGATCTTCGGGTAAAGGGCAGTACAGAAAAGTAATAATAGTAATAATAATAATAATAATAATAATAATAATAATACAAGCATGCTGATTTCCTGAAAACATGAGTCCAAGCAGGGCTGTGTCTGGATTCAAGAGGAACTGATGAAAGAATTCCCACAGGAAAACCTACATCTAGGATGAAGATCTGCCTAAAGGCACTTTCACATGTACTAACAGGAAGAGCAGTCTAGAGCAAAAGTCTGCCCAGTTCCAATGAGTCCATTTGGAAGAGGTTTGACCAGTCCTGAGGATCAATGAGGAAAATTCCAGGCAGGTGGATGAGCAAACAGAGAGATCCAAGGGTGAGCAGACACGGCTGGAGTAAACTGCAGGAAGTTACTCATACGTGTCCTTGCCTTTGCCCCCAAGAAGAGATAATGGCTAAATGCTTTCCCCCTGAACTAGAAAAAACATCATTTCATATTTAACAAACTGTGGCACACAGTATTTGAAGCTAATGAAATTCATTGCTAAGAGTTTGAGGAGGACTAAATATGCACTGAATTTTATGAGACCCAATAAGAACTTTATTGGAGTCTTTATGTCTTGTTTCATGCTTTGGCAAAAACCAATTTTCTGTGCAAATTTCCCCAAAAAGGCACCTAAATTAGACACCTTGAAGCTGTCAAATAAAATCCTTCTTTAGACAACAAGAGATGAGTGGGAGGGGGAGCAGGCAAAGACATACAGCATGATCAATAACTTGCTGGCGTTGTGTTTGGATGGACTTCTACAAAATGTTAATTTATCTGTCCCTAGGAGGCATAAATTTCACTGATTAACCTCTCAGTCTTATTTTATCTGACCTAATTATAATATAAGCCTAACAAGGGGTCTCAAGAATGATAATGACTCTTTAAGTGGATCATTTATCAAGATAAAACATCATAGGGACAACTCCAATCAATAGGATGGGATTCCATAAAACGCTGCCTAAAATTCTCTGCAGGGCTGTTGTGGCGCTCACTCTTTGGATAAATGCCATCCACTTCTAGTCCTTTCTTTCTTTAATGCAACTTTTAATCCTTCATAGTGCTTGTAATCCTCTTTGGTAACTGGCTGCTTAACTAAATTCAGTTCTTCTTAGCATTGCACCTCGCTTGCTGCCTGCTAATGTGCATATTTGCCGTTGGCTTGTTCCAGAAGGAGGAAGAGGACAGATTGAAAAAAACGTATCATAGCCTTCAGGGTGCAACTAAATAACAAAGTGGATTCCAAAAATGTACTGGAGAGCATACAAAAGCCATGGACAGCTGCCTAGATTTCACATTACAGTACAGAGGAGGAAATCATAATGATGACTCTCCTCCTCCCAACAGCCCTAACAGGAACATAGGAACCTGCATATCCTCAAACCATTGGGTCCATTTAGCAGTGGCTCTGCAGGCAGGGTTCTCTCCCAGCCCTACCTGGAGATGCAAGGGATTGAACTGGGTTCCTTCTGCATGCAAGGCAGCTGCTCCACCACTGAGCAATGGCCCCTCCCAAACAGAACCTCGATCATCCTGGAAGAAGGGCAGAATTGAAATACAATTAATTAATCGATCAATAAATCATCAAACAAGCTGCTTCCTTTGAAGACAGAAAAATCTTTAAAGAACTCCCATAAGTCCAGAGGACAGCATCACCAAAACTTACGTTGTTCAAAGCCCTGCAGTTAAAACACATCAACAGCAACTGCAGGACACTAATACCATCATTGCAGCCATCTAATTAGAGAGACTATTCCCTGCAGCACTTGATCGTTATTCAGATCTCTCAGTACCCTGCTGTTAATACTCTAATTCCCAGTATTGTTCCCTTGCCACACATATTTGCCTCAGCCTTACTTCCAAAGCCTTATGTTCTTCCTTACCAGCGCTGCCAAAGTCAAATTTTTCAAATTATGATGCATCTAATGGATGTGATAGCAAAAGAGATGAGCAAACCAATATACTAAAGTTTTGATAGGCAAGGAGCACTCAAGGGACGATCCCAATTGCTATTTTGCTTTCCTTCGACAAAATGCTCTCAGGCAGTATTTTTTCCTTTTATTGCTTCTTATACGCTCTGTGAGCTGGACCATGGACTTACTAAACACTAGCAACTACTGATATCAACTGAGCATATTCTAATTAAAAGGGGTAGCAATAAGCTTTTATGAACAAGTGCAAGGCAGATTTCTGAGTGATTGGTAATCCCATCCAATGGCAAAGAGCAAAACCTCAGAATCCTGACTAGTGTTAGAAATGGAGGGGGGTGGCCAAGTTTTGATCCTACATGGGGGGTGCAAAAGAAAATGGCATTGTTTCCACTTTACATTCCTTCAGATCTAGACTCACAGTTCTAATCAAGTGAGGGTAAAGTAGGAAATAGGAAGGCCAAATTATCATTTTTTTAAAAAAGTTGTTAATTAAGTGTGTTAATTAAGAAAAAATTAAAACACTCACAAAGTTCTTAAGGTTGGTTCTGCTCATATCACATCATGGAGTACCTCACAGGAAGTGGCAAGGGAAGTGACCATCATCTAGCCTACCCTATTACCAGTGGGGCAGTATACTCTATAACCAAAATACACTGACATGCAAAAACAGAAGACCATAGTATACAAGTACTAAGATGACAGCATGCCACAAGAGAAGAGCAAAAGGAATGAAGTTTTACATGCCATGGATATATGTAAGACAACAAATAAGATTATTCCCAATAGATATGTTAAAGACAGGCTGCCACACATACACACACGCTTGGCAGATCACCAGCCAACGTTATACAGAAGGCAGGATAGAAATTGAATAAATAAATTAAAATATAATATTTTATATGTTATTTTGTAAACTGCTTGGCGAATGTCTCAGTGGTAAGTGGTGTGAGTGGGTGTAAGAAAGATTTATAAAAATGACACTTATCTGAGCTCTCCATAACACAACAAAGAGCATGCAGAGACCATTTATTTTGTCTGTCTGTTAAGTTATCCTGCCTTTATCTATCAAACAAATGACCTTGTGATTTGATGGACTGCTTGTACATGTGACTACAGGGAAACACAGTACTTTTTTAAAGTGTCAGCTCAGTAAAATTTCTTAATTTGTCTTTTACTTGTGGCTCCCAAACAGATGACTACTGTTTTAAAAACAAACAAACACATAGATAAATGTAATCATACACTAGATTATGTTTGCAAGAAAAGCAAAATAAATTTGAGCCAGTTGCTTAGAATTGGCTTCATGATGTTTAACTTCAACCAATATTGAGGGGAGGGAAATAATGTAGCACTCTGGCCCACTAGAAGAATTAAGTGGGGTGGGGGAGAAAGAGAAATGGTTTAGATCCTTCCTTACTAAAATATATACTGTCACCCACACATCTCACTAAGTGTTTGATGCTTTGATCAGAAAATATTCATGGCACTCGGTACAATTCTAAGGTTTTCTCACATTATGCATTTCCACATTAAGCTTTTTAGTAATTGTTTTTCATAAACACTAGGGCATCATGAAGCTACGCCATTATCTAAGCACTTGAGGTTATTTTAATTTCAGCAAACCCTTATTTACACCAATCACCTATAGTTAGATTCTTCTTTATAGCTCTGTTCAGGTGTTATAATTCCCCAGGTGAGTAGCATTGAGGGGGAAGAGCAGGGGTGAATGCCTGAAACTCCACCCTGGTCCCATTGTCCTCCACAAGTTGATTGTCTGAAGTGGGAGGAGCCGCTGGTATTTATGGAGACTATCAGCATGGTTCTGAATGCCCTTCTGACAGCACAGGAGACACTCTGCTTCAGAGGTTGATTCTCCAACTCATAGAGGGTGATGGAGATGAGATACAGCTTAGCACACACATCTGCGCTCCTACACACATGGTGGTACTCATGTGGGGGATTGCAGCACCTGAACAAATCTAACTTCTGCATGCTTTGTGTCATACAGCACACTGTTGGCCTCTTCAACCCATTGCAACAGAACATTCATAGTGGAAAAGAATCCAAAACAATGAACCAAATTTCATGTAAGAGATGAGCTGCTACCAATATTTAAGGCACTCCTACATTTCCAGGCTATCGCAAATGGCCAAAATATAAAAATGACAAAAGAGGTCATTCTGTTTATAGCTTTCTATACTTCTTCCAACAGCTAAGTTTAACTAATATGGGTGACAACGGGACCAACACATTATTAAGTAGCATGGCAGCATTCCTTATCCACCATAAAATGAATGGGAAAAAAATAGGTGGGGCAGAAAGAGAGAAATAATGTGTAGAAATTTTTGGTCATTTCTCCTCTCCTCCTTCCTGATTTCCACATGTTCCTTACATGGTAAGTGGGGGGATGCTGAGCAAAACAATGCCACTTTCCAAAACCTCTCAAGGTGTAATGCTGGCCTTTCCCATAACCCTTTCCTTGGGCCTCAGGTTGTTCGCTCCCCTTCCCCTTCTGCCCTGAGAGAACTGCACAAGCTGGTCTTGGAGATGATCATAGAATGTCACATCCATTCCCTACACATAAGGGATACTGGTGATAGATTCAAGGCAGGTCACTTGCTCCCATTCGCCAACCTCAGCTGCGAGTGTTTGCTGACCAAGGACTACAGCCCTGTGTGCATTGTTCTATATGGCAGAGATTTTCTCTGGCAGTGTGTTTGTTTGTTTTTTTTATAAGATATTTATTAGGATTTTTTTAAAATATTACAATGAAAAATGAAAAAGAAAAAAAAATACAAAATAAAAATGATTAAAAACACTCAAATTTTCCATTGCTTATTTTTCCTTAGCTTGTTTCCCGGACCTCCTCATACCTCCCTTTTTGTATTCCAGTTCAGTTTGTTGGTTCAGCAAATCCTTACCCTCTTTATTTATCCTAATCTTTGGTCTTAAAATAGTAACGTTAGATTTTTACCTCTTAACAACCCCTTTTTCATATTCCCTTAAAGCATTACAGCTAGAAACCACTTAATTTCTATCCAACATCGTTCTAACATTCATTAATTTTACAATATTTCTGTAGATAATCTTTGAACTTCTTCCAATCTTCTTCCACCGACTCTTCTCCCTGGTCTCCGATTCTGCCAGTCATTTCTGCCAGTTCCATATAGTCCATCAGCTTCATTTGCCATTCTTCCACAGTGGGTAAATCTTGTGTCTTCCAATACTTCGCGATGAGTATTCTTGCTGCTGTTGTGGCATACATAAAAAAGGTTCTATCCTTCTTTGACACCAATTGACCGACTATGCCCAGGAGAAAGGCCTCTGGCTTCTTCAAGAAGGTATATTTAAATACCTTTTTCAGTTCATTATATATCATTTCCCAGAAAGCCTTAATCCTTGGGCACGTCCACCAAAGGTGAAAGAATGTACCTTCAGTTTCTTTACATTTCCAACATTTATTATCGGGCAAATGATAGATTTTTGCAAGCTTGACTGGGGTCATGTACCACCTGTACATCATTTTCATAATATTCTCTCTTAAGGCATTGCATGCCATAAACTTCATACCTGTGGTCCATAACTGTTCCCAGTCAGCCATCATTATGTTATGTCCAACATCTTGTGCCCATTTAATCATAGCAGATTTCACCGTTTCATCCTGAGTATTCCATTTCAACAGCAAGTTATACATCTTTGACAAAATCTTAGTTTTGGGTTCTAATAGTTCTGTTTCTAATTTTGATTTTTCCACCTGGAAACCAATTTTCTTATCCAGATTATATGCCTCCATTATCTGATAATAATGAAGCCAGTCTCGCACTTTGTTTTGTAATTTCTCAAAACTCTGCAATTTCAGTCTATCTCCATCTTGTTCCAAAATTTCCCAATATTTCAGCCATTTGGCCTCCATATTGAGCTTTTTCAGAGCTTTTGCTTCCATCGGTGACAGCCACCTTGGAGTTTTATTTTCCAATAAGTCCTTGTATCTTATCCAGACATTAAACAATGCTTTCCTGACGATGTGATTTTTAAATGCTTTATGTGCTTTGACCTTATCATACCACAGATATGCATGCCATCCAAATACATTGTTAAAACCTTCTAAATCCAAAATGTCAATGTTTTCAAGAAGCAACCATTCTTTCAACCAGCAAAAAGCTGCTGATTCATAGTAAAGTTTAAAGTCTGGCAGGGCAAATCCACCTCTTTCCTTTGCATCTGTTAATATTTTAAATTTTATTCTAGGCTTCTTGCCCTGCCAGACAAATTTAGAAATATCTCTCTGCCACCTCTTGAAACAGTCCATTTTGTCCACAATTTGCAATGTTTGAAACAAAAACAACATTCTAGGCAATACATTCATTTTTACCGCAGCAATATGGCCCAGCAGTGAAAGCTTCAAATTTGACCAAATTTCTAAATCTTTTTTCACTTCAGCCCAGCATTTTTCATAGTTATCTTTAAATAAATTCCCATTTTTTGCTGTCATGTTAACCCCCAAGTATTTAACTTTCTTAACCACTGTTAAACCTCTGGCAGTGTGTTTGTATAACCCTCAGCCCATGACAGTTTCGAGTGTCTACTGAGGCAGCAGAGGAACTTTGATGAACTACAAAAATCTAAGATGAAGTTTGCCTTTTTGACAGAAACATTGGGCCCTTGAGAAAGGCAATACCTCTGGACCTTTAAGACATGCACCATTCCACTGCCAGTTAGAGAAGGGCTCAACTAGCACAGAAGACATCTCTCCAACCTTTCTGAACAAAATTGCTCAAGACAGCATTAAGGACTATTAAGAGGGCAACAGGACCCAAAAAAAGGAAGATTTTGTATAAAGAGTGGGGTAGATAATTGGGGAGGAGTCAGGCATGGAGAACTTGTGGTGCTCTAGCTGTGGTTAGACTCCACTTTCCATCAGCCCCATCAATGTGGACAATGCTCAGGAATGATAGAAGTTGTCATTGAGCAACATCTGGAGGACCACAGGTCTCCCATCCCTCCTTTAAACATTATCAGCAACCACAGTGGCAGAGGGTGCAGCACAAACAGACCTCCTATATCCAAGTTCATATGAACATACAAATGCTGCCTACCGGTAATTAAAAACAAACACTGGGTTATGTCCAGAGAATCTCCAGGGGAGTTAGCCTTACGCAAGGGTACTTTCCCAATGCCACCTTCATGCTTCAGCCCCCATCACCTTCAAAGCCTGAATAAAACAAACTCTTGAAGGTGCTCTCCAGAATGTCATGGAATGGGACATGGGAGGCTGCAACAGGAGAAGAGAATCAACAGAAGTGAGAAGTGTGTTAGATAACTTGGGATCAAACATATTAATTAAAACTAGGGTTAATTTATTTTAGATCTTTTGTTGAGGGCTGCAAGTAGAGGCCCATCATAGTACCAACCCAACTCATTATGCTGCCCCAATTTTCCAGTAACTATTCCAGCAAATGGTTTTAAATTTGGAAAGGCAGCATACAAATAACATGACTGACTGATTGATGGGATTTCCAGCAGCTAGAAATCACAAATGTGAAGAGTGCTATTGCGTTCAGGTCCTGCTTGTGGATTTCCTAAAGGCACCTAGCTGGTCACTGTGTGAACAGAATGTCAAGCCAGATGGGCCTATGCATGGCCTGATGCAACAGACTTCTTCTTATGTTGTGATGTGACACAGTCACATCCAGGATACGCTACAATGTTTTGTTAAGGGAGTATAACTTGTTAGTTGAATTATTCAATTTAACTAATGGAGGGGGAATCCCCTTTTCTTCCTAAGAAACGCATACAAACAAAATCCAGAAAACCTTTTGCAGAGCTGCAGAGCTGTTAGGAACCCCACAAGCTAGATGGAACAGGAGTAAATGTCCTGAAGCTGGAAATATTGCTCAACTCTAGCTAATTCTAATTCAAATGGTCTTCACCAGTGGTCCTAAAAATAAAAACCAATGTGAAACCTGCTAATGGATGCTGGTCATACAACCAGGTTTCTTTCTTTCTCTTCTGCTTTTAGTGAAACAGATATTTACAGTCAGTTCTGGAGAAATGTTCCCTTGGTCTGCCACTGTAATAAAACAGTTTATCTGGGAGTTTTCCACAACCACTTTGACTTTACAATACAATTTTTTCAATATTTGCTGATGGGTTGTATTTTTTATTTCAGGTCAACACCTTCTGATATATGTTCGGTGTCGTACAAACAGGGAGGGGGGAAATGACAGATATTTATAGTTAGCATGGGAAGAGAGTATTCCCTTGCAATATATATAGAAAACATAAGCGGTATATTTGGGATCCAGACACAAACACACCACCTCAACCTTATGTTCCAAATTTTCCGTTTATGTTGCTGGGAAATGAAAGTCAATCTGATGGGAAAAGCTTGGGTGGCAGGTGGGGGAAGTATTATAAAATCTCACTACTGGACAAGTAAATATAATTGTTTGTCCTTCCATGGACCTGTTTTCTTCACTGGTTTTCAATTGGTGGATTGGGGACTCAAAAATAGGCAGTGTCCCAAATTTAGGTGAGTCAAAGCAGTAGATTCAATGGCATTTACATTTCTTTCGATTTTGTTTGAAGGAGTGGGGTAGGCACACAGACCCAAAACAAAGGAAGACAGAACTAGTTTACTTTTCATACTTGTATAGAAAGGGGAATTTTGTCTGGTCTATCTTGTCATGTAAGATTGGAAAGATGCAGCCTTCTACACAAATGCATCTTGTCTCGCTACAGAGAAAAACAGAAAGATGACCATATGGCAAAACATTACAAACATGCCCTTGGATTGCTGTTGATGTCATCAATCAATAAACAACTGATTTGGGAGTGAGTTCCAGTTAAGGATGGGGCAGAAATTTGATTTTGTTTGCATTTTAATGGAAATTTACCTAATTCACACTTTCCAAACCAATACACAAACCAAAACATAGCTATCCTTTGAAATTCACACATCTTCACATTTTGTGCTACAGTTCTCTAATCAGCCAAAGCGTGCAAAAATTCACATGTTAGGGGGAAATATGTATTAAAACGAATATATTCATGTGGGAGGGGAACACAAAAGTGCAAAATATTAGGGGGAAACTGCAAAAATGCTTCTATTAGTTAAAACTGCATTAAAAACTGTGTTTACTGGGAGAAATTTGCACTAAGATGCGGATGAATTTTCATGAGGAGCTTTAAAAAAATGCTGAAGAAATAAAGAGTTCTGAATTTAAGACTGGAAAATAGGGAAAGCCAAATCTACAGTCCCAGAAAACTCAGTGTCACTAACTTCTGAATACAATATACATTGTACTGGATGTGTATCTCGGTGACTCCAGAAAAAAAGACTGCAGCTTGTTGACAGACAAAACAGTAGACAGAATGTGAAAAAGAAACCTGCAGGATTTGTCACCTGCAGCAACCCCCAGTGCTAACTGAAGTTTTCTTTTGGCAGAAATATAATTTTAATTGGATTAGACATTATAGGCATATATAACAAGGCAAGCTGAAGAGCACTGAGACACAACAGAAAGGTACAATTCAGGAAGTGGCTTGTAATTCCCTTGGGTCTGTTGGAAGAAAGTGGATTTACATTTCAGGACATTCAAGTTAAGATGCTATGAACTGGCAGCCAGCGACTGTAGACAATCAACTGAGCTCATTGTCAGTTCAGTAGGAAAGAGATGAATGAGAAGATATGAAAAAGAGAAATGTGCTTGGAAAACTAGCAAAAAAAAAGGTAGTAATAATGGTCAACAGGGTCTAAAATGTTGCAAAAATAGAAAGATGAACTGCACCACACTTGAATATGAGAATATTAATATTTTCTCTTTAACTTGGACTGCCAAAAGCATTGCAATGGAATTGGATATCAGTTTTAAAAGATCTATGTAGGAACTTGGAGGAACCTCACATGACACAGGAAATAACACTGACATAATTAACTCTTCATCTGTAATATTGGATGAAATATGGAATTACTACCTTGCAAGTCAATAAGGTTTATCACACCAATGTATGAATTAGAAGAGCCCTCCTGGATCCAGTACAGTGGTACCTCGGGTTAAGTACTTAATTTGTTCCGGAGGTCCATTCTTAACCTGAAACTGTTCTTAACCTGAAGCACCACTTTAGCTAATGGGGCCTCCCGCTGCCGCCATGCCACCAAAGCACAATTTCTGTTCTCATCCTGAAGCAAATTTCTTAACCCGAGGTACTATTTCTGGGTTAGCGGAGTCTGTAACCTGAAGCGTCTGTAACCTGAAGCGTATGTAACCCGAGGTACCACTGTACCATGTTTCCTACAGCCAGATGCCTTCAGGTGCCCCACAAGAAAAGGAAGAGTGAAATCATTTTCTCCTGTTTTCTGCCCCCCTGCCCCTCCCCCCCTACAAAATGCTGTCTCTGAGTCTGGATGTAACTTATTGTAATCATAATTCATTGCCACTGGTGGTCTTATCCTCCATGAATTTGTGCAAGCCTAATCATACATCCTATTGAATTCAATGGGGCTTGCTCCCAGGTAAACTGAGTTAGGAATGCAGCCTAATAGTGGCATCACCAGGAATAGACAATGTAGTGGAACAGTGACACACACCAAGGGTGTCATAACAGCAGTGCCACCACTGCTTATCGTGATGGTGCAGAATAAGGGCTATGTGATGCTGAGGTTGTGGTAGTAATGTGGACACACAGGCAAGAGCACTGGATTGCCTCTACCAGTGTCCCCCATCCATTCCTGACCACACCACCATTCTTCTCTGTCCCTGCACAGTGTTGATAAGTGGCGCAATGCCACTGCTGGGAAGGTGGTGCCATGGTACTGCCCTACCATATTGGCTGCTCCTGGGCATTATCTCTGTGGAAAGGTACTTCCTTTCTTCTGTTCTGAATAATTCATATAATAATTCATATAATATAATAATTCATATAATAATAATTCATATTTAATAGATTATACCAAGTTCCCAGCATGCATAAATTTATGCACATCTACCACCACCACCCCACTATGCAGCTTTTTCTAAACTAAAAGTCCTCCAAGGACATATTTTTTTCCAGTTACTCCCTGTATAAGTGCAAAGAACACTACAAAAGCACCACACAAATGTAAGCATTACTGTATTGCTATTTTATTTGCTAACATGGGTGGATTTGTAATCATGTGCCTCCTGCAAGCATCTCATCTTGCTAGTACTCTAGCAATATAAACCTATGCAAACACTTGACACCCAAGGAAAGTGTGATTCAACCAAACTTGTGGGTTTATTTACCCCAATGGCTGCAGAGTTTTCACTTACATTAACACTGGCTGTTGCTTCAGATTTGTAGGTTTGCCAGCAACACACAAATGTACACCAGCTCCCTTAACATATTGGTGTTTGATGGTGCAAAGTTGTCAGTCAACATCAAGGCTGGCTTACCAGTGCCATATTGTTATAGCTCTTCTTCATCCTGGCTACAAACCAGACTTACTAACGTGAGCATTTCAACAAACATGATTCAGCAAACTAGGTGGTTAAAATACCACTCAAAACAACTGAAGACTGCTTAGGTAGGTTTGCAAAAGCTCTCTGTTTCAGTGACCAAGATAAATTACACCACAGAAGCTCATTTTCTAAGTGTTCAAGCTGTCTTCCTTGCCCTCCTACTAGTATTCAAAAAGCAGAATGAAAAACCTTAAGTCAAAGCCACAGCAAACACTTCCCCACCCCAAATTGAAACCATCTCTAGCTTTAAAACCCAAATGCCCAATTAAATGCAAGTGGAATGTAATTATTAGCATTCCTAAAGCAAAATAAAACCAAAACAACAAGAATATGTTAATTCAGCAACCTTAACGAAGAATCTATGGAAGTTCGTGGGAAGAAAAAATCCATTGTCTGTCAAAATATGGTTATTCACTGAAACAATAAATGTCAGCTAAACCACAATTCTTGTGAATAGTAATTATCAACACAGTTCTTTGGCATTTTAACACAAGATAGTTGGGGCTGTTTAACTGTTCAGGTAGCCATATGAGCGTTGTCAACTTAACTTTCAATGAAAAACAAAGTTTCATTTCATACAGTCAAGCTGGTCATCCTAACCTGGCTGTAATGAGACATTACAGAATTCAACAGACTTTTTTTTTACTCCTAGCATATCTTGGTTCCACAGTGAACCTGAAAAGCACCTGCAGTTTGTGCCACTTCAAAATCAAAAAGCAAATTGACCAAGTATTACTTTTAATTCAGAGCATTCTGCTGGCTACGTAAAGAATGATAACCAACTGTGTATAAAGGACTTTCATGAGCAGAACATGACTCCCCCTTTGTCTCCTGACCCTGGAACAGCAAACAGGTACAATACCATGGTAAAGTTCTCAGTAAAGTTCTGGCCATTTTAAACCAGTATTTGGACGCCTCAGCAGCATCCTGCCACTATCAGTAACAGCTTCCAGAACTACATATATGTATGCAATTTGAGACTTTTGCAGAACTATATACCCAGTTTGCAGAATCAGCTGAAAAGCAGCTAATGTCAATAAAAAAGTACTTAACCACAGAAGAAAAATCCAGAACGACATGCTTTCACCACCAGCAGTCAATTTATGCTCTGAGCCTAAATGCGCCAAGCTGAAAGAGGCATGAAATCTACTTTGCATGTATTTCCTTTGAACATTATTAACGCTGAATATATATGTCTTCCAAATCCATATACTGTGGACTTCATACCTACCTAACCCCACCTTGGCCCAACGTCATTTTTCCAAATTAGAGTTGAAATGCATACAAGTTTGCCTTGAGGTTGTGAATACTACTTTGACAGTGTGCTTACATGAGAGTCCTATTGAGTTAAATTAGGCTTACCCACAGAAAAAAATAATGCATTGGAAATGTCTAACTAAAACTGAAAAATGCATTCAGTTCATTTGGCAACTTCTTTTTTATTTTATTGAATAGTGTGATAATGATCAGGTGGCACACAGGGTTGGTTCACAGATGCATGTTCTATTGCTTGATGGCTTCATCACTGAATAGAGCCATCGCACATCAAACAGTGTCCCCCATCATATATTTGAGCAGCTAAGTGTAGAACCTGACATTTGTCCCTGCTGAAATTCATTTTGTTCTGGCCCAGTTCTCCAATCTGTTAAGGCCATCTTGAATTCCGGTTCTGCAATAGCTACTCTTTCCAGTTATTGTCATCTGCAATTTTTATGAACATCCCCTCAATTCCTTCATCCACATCATTTATAAAGTCGTTGAACAACAATGGGTCCTGGACAGAACCCAGCAGCACCTCACTTGTCGCTTTTTCCAGTTACTGCTGGGAATATTCCCTGCCTGAAACCGGGGAAAGTCACTGCCAGTTGATATAGACAATACTGAACTTGGTGGACCAATGATCTGACTTGATACAAGACCACTTCTTCTGCTCCTAAAAGTAGCATTTTTTAAAAAAATGTTAATAATATTTTCTGTTTCCCAAAATTTCATCAAAATTGGTCAAAATAAATGGATGTCAGCCCAGCCTTCTTGGCTCCTACCCTTCAAGTCAATGCACATTAAAGAAAATACCTAAATCAAACAAATTCCTCTCAAACAACCTCAGAAGTTGAGAAATCTCCCTGAGTAGACTGTAGCTGTGTCTGGGAGCTTTTTTAGCTCAAAATTAAGCTACCGGTAAATGTTTTTCACATTAATCAATCAATTATAAAATGGCTATTTCTCATGCCAATATTGGCATATAGTCTGTGTCTTGGAGGTCAGAGTTTTTACAGACATGTCTATATGCTGGTGGTTCCATTCAGAGCAAGCTGGCTCATTTCTAGCCATGTGCTCAGCAGATGGGCTGCACTTTGCTAAGCGTATTTGACACACAGCATTACAGAACTTGCTGCATGAGGAAAAACTATCTGCAGTGCCCAGAGAAGAGAGCCCAGCTTCTATAAACAGTGACCATCCTGCATTCTCATAGGATGGCAAATTTTAGATACATTACTCTGTAAGTATAATGACTTTAGAGAAAATCCTTCCATCCAAGCTGTGTTCCTGTCACACTTCAATCGTGCTGCTCCCTATCAGTTACGGCATACATATCTCTCAAGGCCCCTGTTATTTATGGTAGTGTCAATAGAAAAGTGTGGGGATGTAATTTCCCCGTTGGTGGAGGGTGATGGTGGTGGCCCAGAACAGTGCTCTGGCTGCTGCTGAATAATTCTGAATTGTTACATTGCAATTCTGTAAGTTCTGTAACTCAGACATAAGGCCCACTGAGTTCAATAAGACTTTGCTTCAGAGCTATGACTGTAATGTACATAGCAGAGCTTTCCAAACTTTTCAAGTTAGTGACACAGTTTTTGGACATGCATAATTTGCAACACAGTAATTCAGTTTTGCATAATTTCATGACACAGTAATTCAGTTTTACTACAAAACCGGAGGTTAAACTAACCCTTTCCAACCCCACTGCAGCCAACACACCAACATGTCATGACACACAGTTTGGAAAGCTCTGGTGTATAGGATTGTAGCCTCCAGGGTGCTTTTTTCTTTCTCTCAATGCCATGAATTGTTTTTTTCCTTAATGCCTTCACCCACCATAGCTGTCAACGTTTCCCATTTTTTAAGGGAAATTCCCTTATCCCAAACAGGATTCCTCGCAAGAAAAGGGAAAAGTTGACAGCTATGTCACCCACCCCAACAATATACGATATTCAATTTATGTATCTACTACAGATTTTCCTTAATTTCCTTAATTTAAGTTTAGGAATTTTTACAGCCAAGTGTAAGAAATTGTACAAATGATTTATTTATTTTTAAGCACACATTTCATGTATTGCTCCATTGTTGTGTGGATGTGAACCCTGATGGTTTTCCCATACTGTGAAATCAGTCATTAAGTCCAAACTGGAGGCAGGGCGGTGTTATACCACTGCAAAATTCCTGAATTAAAACCATGAGGTGAAGAATGAGTGCAGAAGAAATTGCAACATATTATATTATATTATATTATATTATATTAATAATTATATTATAATTATTATTATATTAATTAAATATAATAGATATTTAACCCCATCTTCAGTCGCCTAAGCCAAGCCTACAATAGATACTTTATTTAAAGTCCCCTTACGATATTGCTTCCAAAAATGAGCTAACCAAAATGGCCACATCCAAAGTTTAGGCTTTGTTTGCTTTTTTAAGGGGCAAGGGGGGACCTGGAATACTTTTTCCACCTCTGGGGCTTTCTTTTAATGGCCTTTGCAGAATAGGAAAAATATTTCCGCTTCTGCAGTCCTCAGTAAATAGCTTTCCAGTTAATTGTAGAATGTTTCCAAATAATACTGTTTTGCTCCCTGTTAACTTGGTTTCCAGCTTTACACAATTAATTATGGAAGCATTCAGAGGCCTCCATTTTAGACCACTTAGTTAATAAGGAATGAATGTTTAATGGGTGCTCCTTTCAGACTGTTTAATTTAATGAGAGAATTTGCAAGAAAAGGAAGTAAGGAGGATCAATTTAGCATGTAGCTACCTGCAACAGAAAAAAAGCAAGACAAGAATGTCAAGGGAAATAGCATATGGATTCATTTATTATTCAAATGCACCACAAGTCCCATATTGAGAGCTTGGGGTGTTGTATAATCACAAGACGTACAATTTATTAGGCCAAACAGGTTTTCCATCTATCAAAAACAGAAGGGAAAACAACTTTAATTTTAATACATTCCATCAGTTAAAACTTGTAAACACTGTGTGTTCTGCAGGGGAATAAATGTAGACTATAGTAGGCCCTGGCTGAGTAAAGCAGAAGCCAAATTAGCTTTCTCTGGGGGTGATATGGGCAATGTACCGGTAAGCCACATGTGGCACCATTCATCTCAAGGATGCAACCACATGGAGAGAAGAGAATCATACTACAAATCTGCACTCAATCAGAGAAATAGGATAGTGGTACACTTCTCTTCACAATGTGGGTGAATGCTTGAGTCAAATGGCTCAATGGTTAAGAACTTTGCTTCAGGATGAGAACAGAAATCGTGCAGCGGCAGCGCAGCGGCAGCAGGAGGTCCCATTAGCTAAAGTGGTGCTTCAGGTTAAGAACAGTTTCAGATAAAGAACTGACCTCCGGAATGAATTAAGTACTTAACCCGAGGTACCAGTGTAAGTCCAGTATAGAAAGTTATCACTTAACTTCAAAGATAAGTCATATGGATTTAACCTTTGAGATGTGTCTTTCTACCAGATTGAAAGCCACAGGTTTTAAAACCTCTGTCCATGATCCAGAGAAAGGCACAGCACACCCTCCTTCAGAATCACATGGCAGGCTACTTTTCAGAATAATGGTCAGAAGTAGGCTTTGGTGCAGAGTTGTGGTTGTTGTTTTGTTTTTAAAAGCCGTAATTTCTGCTAGATACACATACTGCCTTGATACTGATGTTGGCCCCTGCCTTAAGGCCAATACACACATTACTTTTTAATACCAGTTTTGCATACTACAAATCCATTGTGAAGATCAGAAACTGTAATTTTAACTTAATGGTATGCATTTGATCACCTTGTTTCCAGGGCAAAGTTAAACCAAACATTTCTCAACTTACAAAATACATGTACCCCATGTATTTCTGAACATGCACTTGGAAAACTAGCACAAGAAGTAGCTCATATATCTGGGTAGTCAACTTACAACTTCTTTGTCAATTTTGTGCATCAACAAGGAAATCTCTGTTTAGGGGAGCTTTTAATGTTTGATGCATTACGTTATTTTAATATTTTGTTGGAAGCCACCTGGAGTGGCTGGGGAAGCCCAGTCAGATGGGCGGGGTATAAATAATAATAATAATAATTATTTTTTAAAATTTGCCACCTAACACTTAAAATGTGGTGCTGAAGGATTGTAAGACATGGGTCTTAAGAGCTCTCTTGATCTAAAGTATGGATGTACCTGCATCCTATTGAGCCCTTCATAATTTACCCTTCCAACTCCCCATTCAATACTTTCTACAATCATTATCCACATGTACTCTCTCTTCTTGCAATTACTGGGCGGTTTGGGGATTATTGAATTCATGCATTTCATTAAACCAGTAGTGCCAAAGTTGTGCACAAACACCTATAGATATTGCTGACATATTTTGTTAAGGGGCAAGAAAGGACCAAGGAAACATCTTTATACCATTGCAAAACAGCTAAGAAGATTGCCTCTTCACCATAAAGTGGGTGAATTAGTAAGAACAAGGTGTCTGAGGGAGATGGAGATATAGACTGTCCACTGAAAGCAAGGGTAGGAAACCTCTAACTTGGGACCTGAATGTCTGGTGGAATACAGAGAACAAGTGGGAAACAGCTAGGTATCTCTGTATATTCATTATAGGGAAGCTGTACTGTAGGTGGTGTCACTCTGTACATCAAAGAGGGCATTGGGCAGTCAACTAGAAATCCCCAAGGGGTAGATATGTTGTGGGTGGTGATACCGGGCCCCAGTAATAGTTTAGTTCTGGGGATGTGTTCTCATCCCTTTGATCAAAATGCTCAGGGAGATCTTGAGCTGAGGAATGAAATCAAGGTCCAAAAGTAGCATCCAAAAGAGGAAATGTTGTAGTCAGTGCTTTTTTTCTGGGGGGACTCAGGGGTATGCATACCCCTAAACATTTTGTGAATCTAAGTTTGGCCTCATTGAGGGGCAGTATTTCAATATGAGTAGGAAAATAAGAGTACCCCTAAACATTTTTTTAGAAAAAAAAGCGCTGTTTGTAGTCATGGGTGACTTCAACTATCCTCACATAGACTGGCTACATATGTGTTCCAGTCATGACAAAGATGTAAAATTTCTAGATACCCTAAATGGCTGCGCCTTGGAACAGTTGATCATAGGACAAAGCAGAGGGGAAGCGACCCTGAATCAAGCACCTACTGTGAGATATAAGTGTTGTTAAGCCAACTGGGAGCAGTGACCATAGCACTATTGAACTAAACATACATGTAAACAACCAATAGCCAAGAAAATCCAGCATGGTCACATTTGACTTTAAAATGACAGGAATGGCAAACAGGAAGTTGAAAGGCAAAGTCAAAATGGTCAAAACTGCCAGGGAGTTGTTTAAAATCACAATATTAGAAGTTTGATTGGAGTGTATAGCACAGATCAGGAAAGGTACCACAAGAGTTGAAAGGATGCTGATGTGCTTAACAAGCAGAGTAAAACATGGTATTAGAGGCAAGAATGCTTCCTTCATGCAAATGGAGAGAACACACAAAAGTGCAAGCAGACAGTAAGCAATGCTAAAAACATTAAGACCAACAACCAGTGCTTCTTTTTCAGCTGGAACTCGGTGGAACTCAGTTCCGGCACCTCTCAGGTGGATACCAATGCCATTCTAACAGAACAAGGGAGACGTTCATGGTGAGTTCCAGCACCTCTTTTTCTATAAAAATAGCACTGCCAACAACAGAAAGTTATTTAAATACATTTGTAGCAGGACACATTCTAGTGAGGGTGTACGACCCTTGGATTACAAAGGAGTAAAAAGTGTGCTAAATAGGGACAAGGAGATTGCAGAGAAGCTGAATGAATTATTTGCATCTGTCTTCACAGTGGAAGGTATAGAGCAGATCCCAGTGCCTGTACTAACTTTTGCAGGAAAAGAGTTTGAGGAATGGAGGCAGATAATGGGCTTTTTTATTTCAAAAAAATGAAAAACCTTTCTGACAGTTGAGGTGGGAAAAGGGTTATGAAATATATGCCTGGATTGTGAAGAAAGCGGATCATAATTACAGTGCAAAAATAATCTACAGTGAAGTTCTAAATGGGAGACTGCCACAAGATTTTGTGTCAATTGCATAAGCTCTTTCTGGTGTTTATTTATTGAAAGAGATCATGCACAACATGTCAGAAGCAAATCTAGACTGCTCTACAGTACAAGATCCTGCCAATTAATATTTGGAAGCTGTTTTCTTGAGAATAAATCTAGCACAAGTAGAAACAGTGCCTGCAACGTGGCCAGTATCCAAACTAAAGGCGGAAAGATTCTGTCCAGTAAATATTAGTGTTTTTCCATGTCAGAGAAACAAAATGTACGCAAGTGCTGCACTCCGTAGCTTACCCTGTGAGGAGAAGGATGAAAGAGAGAGAAGCAGCTTTTCCCTCATCCTTTGGATAGAGGCTAGGGTATCTGCTGGAGGAATCTGCCCCCGCCAATGGGATGCTGGTGTGGGTGCTATTTTAAAGAGCTACTCTTCTTCCAGGGCTTCTGCTTTGGTGCCATAACATCTGGCCTTCTAATAGGGTTGAATGAGGCAGCTGACACATATAGGCCATTTTTTAAAAAAAAGGTTTTGCTATGCTCCCCAATTGGTTGAAAAGGTGGGGAGATCTTATTGTTGTTGTTGTTGTTGTTGTTGTTGTTGTTGTTATTAGCCTACCCTGCACTGACAGATGGTTGAAGTGGCACTGTATCCTAAGCAGGAAAAACTGGAGTTTCTGTGCAGGATGAATGGGAGGGGAAAGGCACGAAAGAACAATGAAGGGTATCCTAATGTATTGGAGGGGTAAAGGGAGGCTCACCTAAAGAAGGGCTCTCTCTTTTTGTAAACCGCATTGAGGGTTTATTACAACCACGTGCTATATAAATATTGTGAAAGAAATAATGAGAAGGGCACAACTCTTTTGTGCTCTTCTTGAGAGCAGCATGGAAATGCATGAACTTTAGCACTTTGATGTCCTAATTGGCCCCAATGCTCTGGACCAGTGGCTGCAATAGGTGGTGCCCTCCAGATGTTTTGAGATGTGATTTCCATCAGCCCCAGTCAGCATGATCAATAGTCAGGGGTCAGGGGAGTTGTAGTCAAACAACATCTGGAGAGCATCACATTGGCTACCTCTGCTCTGGGCTGCCCTAGTGGCTTTCTTCTCATACAGTTAAGTGTGGAGGCAAAGAGTACTGACTAGTGTGATCCTTGGAACCAGAGTGGAGTCACCCATCCGAGGTGACTGAGGCAAGTGGTGGGTTTTCTGTATACTGGTGGCTCCCAGCCCTGCAAAACAAGTCGCCCAGTCAGTACCAGGGCTTGTGACTCTGAATTTATTTAAGGCCAGATATATCTCGCCTAGTGGGATGCGGGTGGCGCTGTGGGTAAAACCTCAGCGCCTAGGACTTGCCGATCGCATGGTCGGCGGTTCGAATCCCCGCAACAGGGTGCGCTCCCGTCGTTCGGTCCCAGCGCCTGCCAACCTAGCAGTTTGAAAGCACCCCCGGGTGCAAGTAGATAAATAGGGACCGCTTTCTAGCAGGAAGGTAAACGGCGTTTCCGTGTGCTGCGCTGGCTCGCCAGATGCAGCTTGTCACGCTGGCCACGTGACCCGGAAGTGTCTGTGGACAGCGCTGGCTCCCGGCCTCTAGAGTGAGATGAGCGCACAACCCTAGAGTCTGTCAAGACTGGCCCGTACGGGCAGGGGTACCTTTACCTTTACCTATATCTCGCCTACCCACTCTGCTTTGGTGAAGACACCTAGAGCAGCAGGATTCAATTTGATTTTCTTTCCACATGCATATTGCTATTGTTTACTTGTGCCAGGTATAAGTAACCTTGTTTTATGTGCTTGTTACTTTCTGTCACAATGAAAGCAGAGGAGCCTCCCTGACCCCATCTGGCTGTCTCAGGGTGGGATTAACTCTTGAGCCAAGCTTGGTGTCAACTGCAAAAATAAAATTAAAAAACAGAGGAGTACTGAACACCTCATGAACACAGAAAAATGACCCAGGATTTAGGAAATGACCGTGCTGAGTTTATTAGTAACAAATATTCTAAGACATTGGCAACAGCAAAGCTCTTATCCATTGCTATTAATCACTTTCTTAATGCTAAGAAATCCAACATTATCGATTGTTGGAATTCATCATGATAAGTACGTGGTTATGTGCATGTTTTTTCCTGCTTACTTTGCCCAACACATCCTGTGCATGTCACATTGAGTTGTGTCAATAGTATAGCAAAATGAATGGTTTGGCTAGGCTTAGGCAATACATCTGCCAACTTCTCGCAAGAAGAGATTGGCTGCATTGCAAGAACTAGCTGCAAATACACCAACTCTTAGGGCGCAAGTCCTAACCTGTACCTAACAACCTGTACCTAACAACCTGTGCAATGATTTGAAAAATGGAGCTTTCTTTTCATCTCCTCTCCCTGCATACCCTGAAATTGGCTCAGGGAGGTTCGGGAACCCCCCCCCAAAAAAAAACAGCACATGAGGAGAGGAGAAGGGGGGTTGTTCTAACTGTCAAGCTGAAATGCCCAATTCATAGCACAATGTTGAATTCCACCCTTAAAAGTTTCATTTGCTGACTATAACTTATGGCTTTTTTTTAATGTTACCCCATCCTGACGTTATTTTTAATGAAGACCAGGTTACAAAGCTTATAAATAAGCAAACTACCCAGAATAGCTACAATGAGTCGCAGTCAATGATAGCTAAATATCTGTAAACTGTGCATTAGGAAAAACCAGTGAGCTGGATGAACTTTAAAGTTTTTTTAAAGCTTTAGTCAGCACATAAAACGTACTGGACATGCTTTCATCTGTATTTGCATTGGAATTATATGGATAGATGTCTCCACAAGGGATCAAGAGCAATGAGCAGGGTCTTTATGACTGCATGAGTGATGCCAGTGAGAGATTCCCCTGGTGCCTCTTTAAATAGAATGGTCTCTATCCCTTCAACTGCAGCTTTATTATTTACAGTGTGAGCACAGGAAACAGAGAATTGGCAGGAAGCAGAAAAGCCCAAAGAGCACTTTGTAAAACCTGAAGATCACTTTTAGGAAACGCATGCTTTCATACCACTATGCTTTGCTGACTGTATTCAGTCCTAGAGGAATGGGTTTGTTGGCTTGTAAGCTCAATGAACTTACAATTACACACAATATTATTAGTTTAACTGATTGTGGCTCTGCTGCTCTGAATTAGTAGAATAATTTGCTTCTTTTTACTATTCTTAATTGTCTCAACTGTAAGGAGTGGCTAGCTGGGCAGTCCTAAACAAATTTCTTCTGATGTAGTTCTGATGTGAATTTCTTCTCATGCACCTGAAATTTACACCACTCCAAAAACATTTTGCCACCGAAAAAATCATTTGGGATGTTCTTTCACTCAGCACTTACTGTGAGCCCAGGAGGACTTCTGAATTTACCTGTTTATTATTTTTAAGTTATATATGGGATAATTGAAGAAAGACATTTAGAGAACTGCATTTCTTTACAAGTAAAATCCCAGATGATATTTTGAACTACTGATTCAGTAGATATGATCCCCAGAGGGCTAGGGAATACCTGGCTTCCTTATTAAGTAGTGAGAGAAATGCACTGTGCATACATTAATGCACTTCCCTGCCTGAAAAGTCCAAAACAATGCTAACGCAGCTATTTTATTTTATTAGTAATTTATAGTCTGCCTGTCAGTCAAAACGATTCTTAAAGTAGAGCATAGTTACAAAATTAACACTATAATTAAAATCAAATTACGTGGTCACACTTAAAAGAAGGAAGGAAGGAAGGAAATTTTTGATCTAAGAAGTTTATTAATTCCAGTTTCACCTTACAAAGAACATTTATTTTTATTTTTTGAAAAAGCTAGTAATTTTGGTAGTGATGATCCCTGAAGGTGGTACAGGATTTTATTTTATTTATTCTTAAAATTTCTAACTGACCTTTCATCATAAAAAAATCTCAGTATGGGTATCAACAATTTAAAACCCAATAAGACAAGACAAACACAATCAACAGCTAAAGCTGCCAATGTAGCTCATATATGGGATGGCCCTACAATGTCAAATGTCTGGCAGAAAAGGTAGATCTTCAGCTGGTGCCAAACGATGGATGTGCCAGCCTAACCTGGAGGGCTGTTCCAAAGCCACTATGACATGGTTAAGAAGGCACTCTGGTGGGTCACAGCCCCTCTGGCCTCAAAGATGGTGCTACCCCTCTGACATTCCAAGATTGTATTGCCAGAAGGCTCTCACAAACTGGCTGTGGGGAAGAACAATGTGTCCAAAAGTATGTACAGGTACAAAGAAAATACACAGGTGTGCTAAAGCTGTGCTTGCTTGATGCAGAAATAATACAGAAAACACAAATGCTATTTCTACAGTGCTCCCCCTCCCAAAACTCCAAAATTTGCTAGCCATCACTGCAGTTTCACTGAACTTCAGAGTCAAGAGAGAAGCAGGCAGAAAGGCAGAATCAATCAACTCTGATTGGGTGAAATACACAAGGCTTCTCTTCCTTTTCAGAGCAGGAAGTTGTCATCCATGAAATTGACAAGCCTTTCCCCTTGACCTTGTCAGAACTTTTGCCAAAGGCCAGAAAGATGAAAGGAATAATGATGAAATGTGTTGGCAAGTAATGCAGGAAGGCTGTCATGAATCACACTGTGATGGATTGCATCAAATCACAAGGAAATATGGCCCAAAATGTCAGGGTAGGTGTGGGGAGTGTCTTCTTCTGCATTACTTGCTGTGGCGATTGATGCTGTGACAATTAAAGGAGGAACAACGTAACTTCCAAATGGCAGAATGTATGCCTTAACTGGAGTAGGGGAAAGCTTCCCAAGCAATCATGAAAGCATTTGGATATGTGTATGGGATTTTGGCTTACATGTTTAATAAGCGAGCTGTTAATAATTGGCTTTCTACCAATTTAGAAAGTAAAACTTTTGGGACAGAAGTTAGGCTGATAAAGTGTAGGCAAAGAAGTCACTAATTTCCTGGATCCCCTCTGGATCCCTGTTTTAAAAATTGATGTTAGATTGGTTGCTCTCCGTTCCTCTGGTAAGGATGCTGGTTTTTAATGCCAAATTGCATATATTTGTTAAAAGATCAGCAATTTCACATCTGAGTTCTTTAGGAACTCTCAAGTGAATGCTATCCAACCTGAATTATTTGCTAATTTGTATTTTGCCAATTAGTTCTAAAACATCAGTATTCCTCTCCACTTGACATAGCTGCTCAAGTGCTTTCATGTAAAACTATTGCTCATATGTGGTTATTGCTTCAGTATCTTCCACAGTGAAAACTGATACAAAGAATTTAGCCGCTTTGCAATCTATCCTCCCCTCAGCACTCTTTCCACACTTCTCTTGTCTGAACAAGGGAAGCCAATGCAAAATTTAGACTGTTCTGTTTTCTAAAGACATTCAAACTTTGTTACATCTATAATTACCTATGAGTAATTACTTGTAATTGCAGAATGTTATCATTCATGCAATTACCACTTTCGCCTGGGTTTTAAATTGATATGAGTCATACATCTCCCATTTGGAATTTAATTTTCCATGTGCATAGTACTTGCCAAGTAGACTTCAGTCCCAAACAGAGATACATGGGGGTCTAATTTATCTTTAGAGTGACTCCATTAAGTCAATTGCATTTCCTCTCCATATAAATAGAGGTCACTGAATGAAGGCTTCCACAAAAATGTGCAGAAAAGAATAAATGGCCACATATAATCACAGGTATATAAATTCCCATTGGTTCTACAGTGCAAATAAAAGTTGAGAAGAAACCACTGGCCTCTCATCTGTTTTCCATTTGGAAAATGTTCTCTTCTAACCTCTGGCTAACTGGACACATGGCTAGGATCCAGACTTTGCCTCCCATGAAGCAAAGGAGCCATTCTGTCTACAGCAGGCTTTCTAGTCCAGGGAAGAAATCTGGCTGGAGGAACAAGGAGGGCGTGTTTTTTGTAATTCTTTCCTCTTCCTGTACCCCATTTTGTAGTCCCCTAAAATAACTGCTTTGGAGTAAGGATGGGTCAATCTGTCAGTTTCATTTCTTTCAGTTAGATTTTCCTGCTTTCCCCCCACTCCCTGTTTTCTGTAATATCTTGGCTGATGAAGAGTTCTGGAGAACTCAAAAGGCTACCATGATTTTGTGACTTTTTGGTGGTCTTAATCAGGAATAGGTGAATTTCAGCTTTTCGTTTTTCCAATTGTAGTTAATTTCCACATCAGTTCGCATTCATACATGTTTCTGCAAAGCAATTTTCCCTAACAGAATGCATTTTTGTATGTTTTCTCCAAAATATGCATGTGTATACACATTTTACCTTAATATAAACATTGTGTACACAATGCTTAGCTGAAGAACTACAATTTAAAGAAATGTGAATTTCAAAAGGTGGCTATGTTTCAGTTTGTGTATTGTTGCAGAAAGTGTGAATCAAGTTGATTTACTTTTAAATGTGAACTGAAATTTCTCCCTCATCCCTGCTCTGGAGAGTTGTGGTGATGGGGCTATAGGAGGAAAGAGAAGTGGCAAAAATCACATTCTGTTTTGTGCCATTCACTCACATGAATGTGTTCTGTTGGCATTGGGTAATGGTTAAATGCCTCTGTTGTATGCCTTGGTCTAAACATGTGGTGTGTTTTCATGCTGTTATCATAGCTGCCCCCAAGTATTTTGATCTCATCTCACAAGGAGAGTACAAAATAACTTTTTAGCATTAAACTGCAACCACTGGTAAATTGTGGGAGTTGCTTTGTAAGTTCCCGTACTGTACCTCAAGAGTGTGTGTCTATTCTATTTTTGTGAACATCCCCCAATGGAAAATAAAGAGCTTTACTCATCCACCAGGGGACCAGCAACCCAGCAGAGGTATATAGGCAATTCAGCTGCTTTTGGCAGAATACAGTTTGTTGTCACTGTGCCAATGATATTCTCTGCTTGAAAGGAAATAGCAGAGCTACAGTTCTCCAGTTCCATGGGAGACATGTGCCATACCGTGGGAAACACTAAAAGTCCATTTCCTCCAAAAGAAGTCAGAAGGCTGAAGTTCGGAACAAAGCCATCAGCTGTAATTGGCACAGAGATCATGGAAATCCAGTCATGCTCAGCCTGATTGCTAACTTAGTCTGAATCCAAAGCAATGTGTAAACCAGACCTTATTTAAACATTAAGTCTCTTTTCTGACTATCTTGGCAGGGAGTCTCTCTTCCCATGTCTTAGCTTACTTAAGTTATATATTTTTGACTCCCTACTTGTGGGAGCAAGAGCGAAATCTGAAAGGAAAAAACATTGTCACTTTCTCTCCAAAATGACTCCAGGCATGTACGGGTTTTATGTCTATTATTATTTGAGAGAGTCCTCCTAAACTTTTGAATGTGGATTATGCATGTGGATGTGTATATGTCGTAAGTATGAAACAGCTTTTGGAAATAATGCTTTCTCTATCAGGAATGGATTTAGTCATAAGTATAGTGCAATGCATAAGCCACGTTTAGACATTTGAGTGTACAGGCTGCAGATCAGACCTTTGCATATTTATTGCAAAGGTCTACAGGGTTTTTCTAAGGCCAAACATACCTAGGTTCCCTTGCTCCCTTGGCAAGGAGAGGTATTGGCACCTCCAAAGCAGGAGAAACCATGGACCAGAAAGTTTGCTTTTCATCACCTTTCATGCTCCACCAGTGACTTCCTAGACAACAGCCATCAGGGTCAGGTCAGGTCTGCTCTGCTCCTCCCCCTCCTCCTCTGTCAGTCTATCTGCCTGCCTCCCTCCACTTGCTGCTTTTCCTTCTGTCTCCTTACTCCCTTCCTTCCTTTTCCCTCCTCCTGCAACTCTCACCCACTCTATCTTCTTCCCTTCGAGCCCTACTGAGCACTCTGCTCACACTTCTCATAGCACTGGGGAGAACCCCTGCAGGGCTGCTAGGACAGCCCATGACAGCAACTGGATTTCTCAACTGAGCAACGAAGAAGCGGCCCAGGGAATGGATAGACTGGTTCCTAGCCACTCTGAGCCAGTTTTGTGCCCCCTGTGCCCTGCACCCTTGGCAGGGGCCAACCTGCATTCACGCCATACATTTAAGGCACTATTATACCACTTTATGCAGCCATGGTTTTCCCCAAAGAATCTTGGGATCTGTAACTTGCTAAAGAGTTGTTAGGAGACCCCCTATGCCCCACAGAGAGGTGCAATTCCCGTATTTTCCTGTGAAGAGGGACTGACAGTTGAACCACTGTGGAAACTGTAGCTCTCTACGGGGAGTGGAGCTTTTTAAATCCTAGCAGCCAAAGAAAGAACACTTAGTTTTCTCAAAAAGTTTCATGTGCACAAATCATAAAATGTGCAAATATTAATTGAAAAATAGTATTTTTCAATGTCAGTTTTGATTTGTATATCATTTTTTCAAAGTACCGTAAGAAGCAAACTCCAAGGAGGGAAATTGCTGAATTCTGACACCAGGTGTTTCAGTGGTAGTATGGCAATTTTGAATGGAAATTGTAATTGTTTGGTGCTTGATGTAAGGTCAAGAATCTCCATGCTGTAATACAGTTGCATGGGAATAAATGGTTTTTTGTTTTTTTCCAGGTTATGCAGGATCACTCTGTGTATCCTATTATAGCCACCCACCCCAAGGAAACAGTGGGATATATGTAAGTTGTAACTACCTTGCCTTGTTGAGTTCAATGAGACTTACAATGTATTCTAATGCATTCTCACTCAGTATGTCCATGAGTTACTTCCAGGTAAGTATAAGCCTGCTGCCTTAGCATAACTAACATTCTCTGAATTACCAAATATTATTTGATAATGACTACAAAGTAAAAAGAACACAGAGTTTGAAGCTACTCTCAATTATTCAAAGCAGGACCTAAATGAGCAGGCCATGAGGAGAATTAAGTGCTCTGGTGCCTTAGTTTCACTCTCAGATGTGTTTTAAAACTTTCTTCTCCCACAGTCCAGAACATTTATATATCAGCTGAGGGCTCCAAAGTATAATAAAATCCAGTCAAATCAGAAAAAAGCACCCATTCACTCCTGCATACACAATTGTTTGCTGGCTTTTAACTCAAATCTCCACAATGAATGCACAGACTCTAATTTATTTGATGCATTCGTATTGACTATGTAAATTCTCTTATCATTAGCTCATGCCTCAGTTGTCAGATAGCACCTACTGAAATAAATAGTCAGAGAGTAGATAGCAGCTATTATGTACAGTAACTAATGGCTGTAGACATAAAATTAAAATACTTATCTCAGGGTCAAGTGCTCTACTTGTACCAAGCATTTGACCTCTAGAGCTAAGGTTCAAATTTAAATCATAGTATCCAAATTACAGTATTTCATGCTAAGGAGGCTGCATGTCTACTTACATCATAGTCCAGGTATTTCAAGTACAATTGGTACTATCCATCACACACAGCTTTGTTTCAGCAACATGCTTCCTAAACAAAATAGGTACTTCATATAGTTCAAAATTTTTGGATGAGTGGGCACATTTGGAATTTTGGAGGGTGCTGTGGGCTCCAGTCATAAAATAGCTGCCATTTGCCATTGGGGCATAGCATATCACAAAATGGCTACCATGGAGCCATGGCAAATACTGTAGGAAATGGCTGCCATGGGATATGGAATGACCCAAAATCGCTACTGTTGGGATAGTGTCTTCAGTGTAGGAGAGGCTGAACCCGTGTAAACAGCAACTGACTATGAACACGAATTTTTGAGGGAATAGCTACTTTTGTGGGTGCAATAGGAAGTACTGGTGGGGACACTGTTATCTGCAGGAACCACACTGATTACTCTGATTATAGTTGTTTTTATGCATGATGAGAAGCATCACACACCCCTACCTAAACCTATAGACTTCTGGCATGCTAAGTAGAAATGTGAAGTAGTCCAATATTCATCCTTAGGATTATAATTAATCAGTAGCAGCAGCAATGAATAGGCCAGTAATATTATACTACCAAAGTAAGTTATTATGATTGTAGCAGATTGCTGACTAGGGAGGATAGGTTGAAGCTGAGTTGTTCTACAAGATTTGAACCAGAGACTTCTCAATCCACACTATACCAGCTAAATGAGCAACTTTTACATATTAAATGTATTTCTGTTCTAAAGAGGAATTAAATGTAAACACTTGTTAAGTAGCCTTCTCTGAGTGACAAATGAGAAGAGACTGGCAAACAAACCAGATATCGGATTCCAATGTGTGGTGGCCCAGAGAATATTGATTGACTCTCTCATAGATCAAACTTGCCAATGGTTATTGGGTTAGAGTCACTAGAGATTCTGCCAGCGTATCTGACCTCTAATTAAAGAATGAGCTGGTAATAGTGACACTCCATCACAAATATGCCACACTCTGGATGACATCTCAGGTTTGAAATACAGTACCAAGGGAAGAAAAAGGGAAACAGACACAGATTCTCAAAGGCTGATATAGATGTCGTTTTGTGATATCAGTAGTCAGTGCTTTTTTTCTTTAAAAAAATGTTTAGGGGTACTCCCATTTTCCTACTCATATTGAAATACTGCCCCTCAATGAGGCCAAACTTAGATTCACAAAATGTTTAGGGGTATGCGCCCCCTGCGCACACACACCCCAGGAAAAAAGCACTATCAGTAGTGAAACACCTGGTAAACTGCTGTTCACTGCATTGCAGTGCTTAACAAAAAGAGACTTTTATCCTAGGCTGTGTGCCTCTTTCTTATCCTAATACTTATTGTCTGTTAAATAGTACCAGAAACAAAGTACAAAGATTCCTAGATATGCACAAATGTAATCCATTGTTACATATTCAGTATATAATTTGGAGGGAAGACACTGATACACCTTTCCTAAGATGAGGTAATGGGACAATGTCTGCCTAAGATTGGTGCCTAACCCACACACCTGTAAATTGTTACGTTATTACTCTCTGCATTCAGATTTCACATTTCCAATCCTTAAAACCATGATGTGAAGGGTCAAGAAGCCCTGTGCTGGCAAGTTCCCTCCTCTTCTCTCTTCTGCGCTTCTCCCTGCATTTGTGCAATTTAACATATCACTTACTGGTTTGATCAAACCATAGTTTACTGTTGTGTGTTTATTATGATTTGAGCAAGCCCTCCAAACCAAGATTGCAAACCACAGTTTGATCCTGGTCTGCCATCCCATGTTGAGGGCTCACTCAAATAATTGTTTTACAGTTCAAACATAACTTCAAGCACATTGAATGACCATGCCAGGAAGTATGAAGGAAGGAGGCATGGAGAATTAAAAACATGATGTCGGAATGTAGCCACTTGGTGGCATTATTTATTGGTAGTACTGGAGCAAGCACCAAAGCAGCATCATGTTTAAACCACACTCTTCAGCCTCAATAAAAATCAAACCCATATTTATAATCTACAGGTTTACAAAAATGAGCAAGTGAGATGCAGACGAGGAAAACTATCCTTTGAATGCAAGGATTCTGTTTTGAACTTTTACAAGAACCTCAGGTGGACAGTATGTATCTAAATGCATTTAATCAGCTTTAGAACTTGAAACTTAAACACATCAACCTCATAGCTTTGGGATTGCTTAGGTTTAAATGAGAGTGGGATATTGGCAAGAACTGTGAAACTGTTCACTAGATCTTGTTTCCACCCTAAAAGGGGGGGGGGAGACCTCTATGTCTTCCAGGAGATAAGTTCTGCTGAAAAAAAGTTGTTTTCTAGTCATTTATAATGTATAGTTTATAGGGAGGGAAACTGGTTTGCAAAATTTATGACCATGGGGGCAAGGGGTATTTTTCTGTTTAATGGATATGTTGTGATCTATAATGTGTCCTACACCTCAGATTTTGCCTTCTGCTGCATGCAGCAATATTCATCCCAAAGATACTCAGAATGCTATTAAAGAAATACAAGAAATCCAGTAGGGAGTCGAGTTAAAACTGCCCCAGCTGTAATTACAGATTGGAAATATCCTAAATCCCTGCTTTGCATAATAGTGCTGGCCATTTCTAGACTGTAGAAGTGCCTGTGAATTTTGATGCACATAAAGCATTTATGTACACTGAGGCAGAGGTTCTTGTGAAGCAGCCTGCTAGGTACATTTGGGCAATATTCTAATGACTGCATAGAATAGAATCTTGATACCTGTGTTGTGTTTGCGTATATGAGCAGGATGATTTAGGGCACCAGCAACCTGTACTTGTCTCATTGCATATATATGAGCTTTGGCTTATGCAGACTAAAAATAATCACCTGCCTTGTACATCTTTGAATAAATCATTCAACCAGAACTACTATTAATGTTACATTTACTTTTGGTTGTTTTGAATGTCAAAGTGAATTTAGGCTACATACAATTTTTATTCAACTGCTTCTACTTAGCTCGATTCATTATCATGGGAGACTTCTGAAAGGATCTCTTCCAGCTTCAGTGGGATAGTGGCAACCACTTTCAATTGAAAAGCAATTCCTATGAAGTACTAGTCATCATTTTTCCCTCTTGATCATTTGTAGCGGCTATCCACAGAGCAGAATTTAATGACTCAGGTCACCACTTCTGGATGTTTCTAGATCTGATCAACATAGTTCAACTCCACTGAGTCCTAAGGAGGCACTCTGTGATCCAGTTTAGCCATAATAGGTAGACATATTTCCCTGCTATAGAGACAAGCCTCTACTGAAAGAGATCAATAGCTTCCACTTTATATAATCATAGAATTGTAGTTAGAAGGGACCCTGGTCCAATCCACTGCAATGCAGGAATCTTGCCCACAGCAGTCTCTGGGTGGGCTTAAACCACCAACCTTCTGGTTAACAGCCAGAAGCACTAACCTGTTGAAACAACTTTTAAACAAATCATAGTTCTCCTATTAACTGCAGTTTGTTTACAACTATCATTAGATACAACCCAGGATCAAATTGTTATTTCAGATTCTGACTTGTTCTCAAACCATAGCTTAAATAAATAACTGTAGGGAACTGTGGTTGTTAAAAGTGAAATGGAAGTTTTCATATGTTTCGTCTGGCATGTAAAAGAGGGAGGGTGGGGAGAGGAGTGTGCAAGCTCAAAGACTGAACATTTTATTTATTTATTGGAAATTACTATTCATGTTGTGGGAAACCATGGGTGCCAGCTATGTCTGAACTGGACCTATCAGTTGGTTTATGAATTACCTTTCATTCCTATAAATTATTATGAATAGGTATGAATTAGTCTATGTCTAAACCAAGCCTATGAGTTGTCTCATCACTCCACATTTTATGAAAGTTGAATGCGTGAATGAAACAACATTACACTCTACTTGTGGTCTGTAATTTGTGGTGGTGCATTCACACATCCATGTAAGTCACAACTTGCTTTTATTTGTACATGATTAACTTGCATGCATGAACTGTCCCTTCCTCAGTTCACCCTACTAAATCCAGTTACTAAAACAAAACAATCTGCAAGTTAAGGGGTGGGTGGGGAATCCAGTGTTAAAGTTTGACTTGTATCCTGTAGCAGAATGTTTCCATCATAAAATTGTGGTCTTTTCTGTTCCTAGGAACAAGGTGAACTAAGTGTAGAAATAAAACCTTACATTTCATGCAGTTCACAAAAGCTGTATTTCCCTCCCACAAAACAAAGGAAGCAAAATATTCACAGCCCACTGTTCTCCTTACATATACACAGTGGTACCTTGGGTTACATACGCTTCAGGTTACAGACTCCGCTGACCCAGAAATAGTACCTCGAGTTAAGAACTTTGCTTCAGGATGAGAACAGAAATCGTGCTCCGGTGGCGCGGCAGCAGCGAGAGGCCCCATTAGCTAAAGTGATGCTTCAGGTTAAGAACAGTTTCAGGTTAAGAACAGACCTCCGGAACGAATTAAGTACATAACCAGAGGTACCACTGTACTTCAGTTACAAAGCAAATCACCTGGATTCTGGGGATTGTCCAGTGAGCACAAAATAACATTAAGACACATGGTAGATTCCTCCCTGCCACCGTCATGTATGTTAAAAACCTCACTTGAGATCAACATTATTTTATTTGTGCAACCCAGTAATTCTCCTCAAAGTATTTTCTGTTAAAAAAAATAATGTTGTCCTAGTATCCTAATTACACTGGCTGCTGAGTGAGGCTATAAATGCAGTATTTCACATTGCAGACATGCCGGCTGAACATCCCCTGCATGTTCATTTCAACTAGATCATCTCTTGAGCAACTCATTGAGACTATGCAGGGAAACTGAGAGGCAAGGTAAAGAGGATGGGTGAACTAGGTCACATTTACTAATATAGCACAACAAATCTGCAGCCGGAACCATGGTGCAAGAGACAAACAGCTCATAACAAACTGTAGGTGAGAAACCCATTCCTGTTAGCTCTGCTGCTAAGTCTGCTACCAATTTAAAGCACGAGGGCATGGGAGCTATTAGTTGTCGACATAACTCAGTATTCTCTACACTGACAGACAGTGCATCTCCATTTAGGAGACATTCTCAGCCCTATTCAGATATACTGGGAATTGAAACAGGTATCTTCTGCATGTAAAGGATGTACTTTTCCATCAACCTAAGGTGATTCATTGTTATCAGACTAGAATGTGCTATTAATTAAGACTGTCACCAAGCAAATTTGCATGTTTACAAGACAGCAGGAAGAACAAGTACGTAAGTCATTCATCCATTCACATTTTTTGCTTACCTTACAGGATTGTTCATAAAGGATACCTAAAGCAATTGGTGTGTTTTAATAATAATAACAACTTAATTTATATGTGACTTTCAGCTATTGGACCCTAAGTAGCTTCCAGAATATGGATAAAAACAGTACAGTATAATCCTAAGTGTACAAATGACATTGATTGATTGATTGATTGATTGATTGATTCACTGAATAACCAATATGAAGAAAACCAATAGTACAGAGGCTAAAATGGTGTTCTACTCTTAAAAGGGGGGAGCAGCAGCAACTAAACGATATTATACACTAAAAGCCAATTCAAACAAAAGTATCTTCAATTTCTGATGGAAATGATGTACAGAAGGATGGATTTAGATGAGGAAAGCACTTAAAACTCTAAAAGCACTACATAAATGCTAGGTAGTATTTATTTCTCCACTGCTTGAAACATAGAAGAACCTCTTAGGTACCTGCATTATGACTCTTCTATCTAATCACAAATTTGGTGTATGCCAGCTCCACCTTTTTGTAATCCCATGCTGTGCCCAGCAAGGAAATTCCCTTAAGTGTCATAGCAGGAGTGTGGGAATCTGCAGCCCTCCAGATGTTTGGGGGCTTCAGCTCACATCAGTCCCAGCCAGCATTGCTGATGGTCATTGATGAGGGGAGCTTTGTTGCCCAACATATGGAAGGCAACATGTTCCCCATCCTTGGTCCTGAGGGATGATAGGCAAGGCCAATGAGACGCAGGAAATTCTGGCGTGTGCTGTGGCTTCACATGATTAATGATTACCTGCATTGTGATCAAATATGGACTAGAGGTGCAACCCAACGAGCTTGAAAATCTAAACCAAGAAGGTACTTTCAACAGTGCTTTTAAGAAATGTTTACATTCAATCTGTACTCTTTTAAGGCAGTTTCACCGCAGCTCCCAAGCTAGAGTTCCCTTGCATAGCAACTTATCTTTAGCATTGACTGGACTGACCTAGACTTCCAGCCCCTAGTAAAATAAGCTTCCAGTAAGATATGTGGTACATGTCTATATAATCAAAGCTTGACTAACTTGAAGCTCTTCACCTGCTTTATTGATCAAAAGGAGTTTCATTTAATACTGTCTGAAATATAATCAAATTCAGCCGGCAATATACCAAGATGGCACTTGCTGACCATTAGACAAATTAAACTGCAATGGCTGATCATTGATCAATACTGAACTTCTTGTTATGGGCTGGTAATCCAAATAATGCAAAGAATTAAAATGCAGTGTTGGCCTGGAAGGTGGTGTGATGGATAAGAAGGGCTAGGAAGAGGCCACCATTGCTGAATGGAGACTGAAGAGGAGAAGACCCCCAGTACTTTATTAGTTGAGATTATATGCCAACACAGAGGATCACCAGAGTTGGCATCATTTGAGTGTGCAGCTGCTGACTCACTATGTGTCCCCAGTAGTAGCATGAATGTGTAAAATGCTCACAACATGCAGGCTGTCTGTTGGTTGGCTAGGAGTTCCCGCTGCTGACATTAGCAACCTGCACTGGTGGTAACTCTTAAAAATGATACAGGCAGCCACATGCCTGCATGGTTGTGAGCATTTCCCATATTAACTGCAGGGTGTGCATATGCAACCAAAATGAATGAACATGCACGCAAAGTCCCCAATACTGTTTGAAAGCTAGGAATATTTATGTAAAACCATACTTCCCTGCTTATGCTGTACATTTGTGCACACAACATGGTGTTTTATGCACATTTTCTATTCAGCCCATTTTAACTACAACAGATACTAGATCAGATTCAAGGCTTCCTCTGTCCACAGGAGTCTTTTGATCCAGTGGCAAAATCCCACTAGTAGGAAGGAGCAACTCGTGCTGAGTTCTCCCTCACTCTGCAGCTGACACCTCCACATCCCATACTGAGAACATGAAGGGTCCTCCATTCATCCAGGACACTGTGTGAGAGGTAGGGACTGAGAAGAAATTCAATTCAGTTCACAGTTAAAGCCATATTAGCACATTGTTCAAAATTCCCACATGGCTGAATTTTACGATGCAGTTCTCCAAAGGAAGAATATATACAAAAATGCATACACAGTGGTACCTCTGGTTGTGGACGGGATCCATTCCGGGGCTCCAGTCAGATCCCGAGGTTTGCACAACCGGAGGGATCGCTTCTGTGCATGCATGCACGGCGAAACCCAGAAAAATACTTCTGGGTTTGCCGCGTTCACATCCTGAAGGATACGTAACCGGGGGTGTGCATATCCAGAGGTACCACTGTGTTGGAGAAACTGCATATCAATATGTTAGTGAAGATAGCATACAAAAATGCATTATATTATGAGGAATTGCTTGCAAATAATTGTACATTAGTCAAAGCTGTATGCGTAAATGTGTTTAGCAGGAGAAATTCACACTAAAATGCTGCAGAATTTTCGTGAGTATTTTTTCTTTAAAAAAATCACAAATTGCTGGTGAAATGTGGAGAACTGAATTTAAGTTTAGAAAAATGAGAGACTGAAATTGACAAATTATTTCATCCCTAGAAAGAGGTTACAAGGGGATCTGAAGAGGGTGAGAAGCAGAATGAAGTCTGGATCCAGCACATATTATATCTGTTGTACTGTCTTGACCATGATTTTCAGGAATAGTTTTCACATGAAGGTCCTGTCAGAAAATTATTCTGCATGGCAAAGACTCTGGACATGAGTTTTAACCTTTGAAAGCTGCTCAGCAAGTAGATTTTCCTCATCACATGTGAGTATTTAGGCCACCAACAATGACCACACAATAACTAAAAAGGAAATGAAAAAATGGCAAAAATTCACATATCTATTTCTATTGCATATACAGTGGTACCTCTGGTTAAGAACTTAATTCGTTCTGGAGGTCCGTTCTTAACCTGAAACTGTTCTTAACCCAAGGTACTACTTTAGCTAATGGAGCCTCCCGCTGCCGCCACGGTGCGATTTCTGTTCTCATCCTGAAGTAAAGTTCTTAACCCAAGGTACTACTTCTGGGTTAGCAGAGTCTGTAACCTGAAGCGTTTGTAACCCAAAGCATTTGTAACCAGAGGTACCACTGTAACAGGAAGTAAAGTGATGGCTGTATGTTGACAAATCCACAAGTGACATTGGGGAGCAGGGAGCTTGAAGAGAATATTTTTACCATGATAAGGAATTAAGGTAAATGGTAATGGGTGGAATAAAAATTGTTTTCATACTAACTTCACTTTGACATTCAAAACAACCGCAAGACAATGTAACATCAATAGCAGTTCTGGTTGGATGATTTATTCAAGGTGTACAAGACAGGTGATTATTTTTCATCTGCATAAAAAGCCAAAGCTCATATTCACACTCATAATAAGACAAATACAGGATGTTGGTGCTCTAAATCATCATGCTCATATACATAAACACAATGCAAGCACTAAAATTCAATTCTGTGCAGTCATTATAACCTAGCCCAAATGTACCTGTCAGGCTCTTTTGCAGCATGAGCCTCTGCCTTGGTGTAAACTAATGCTCTGTTTGCATCAAAACTCAAAGGCCCAGAGATGGTTTGAACTATTATGCAAAGCAGGCTTGAGAATATTTCCAATCTGCAATTACAGCCAGGGCACTTTTAGCTCAACTTCCTACTGGGATTCTTGCATATCTTTAATGGCATTCTGAGTATCTTTGGGATGAATATTGCAGAATGCAACAGAAGGCAAAACCTGAGGTGTAAGGCACAATATATATCACATCATATCCGTTAAAGAGCAGGGTGGGGAAACTAATCCAGGAAGACATAAATTTTGCAAGCTGAATTTCCCACCCTGTAATTTGGCGTTCTGTAGTACAGTTGATCAATGTTCTCTGCTGAACTGATCAGTCCAACAGGAGAGTGCAGGGACAAAACAACTCCTGAGTGTTTGGTACACCATTTCTAGATGCTTTCTAGTGTCAGCATAGTGTTGCTTTGATGAGGCCTGTACAACATATGGCCTACAAAATGCAACATGTGGTCCATCTATGGCTTGCAGTGCATTCCCAGCATGTTTACTTAGAAGTATTTCTCACTGTTCAATGGCACTTACTTCCAGGTAACTATGCATAGAGATTACAGGCTTTATAATTGTTTTTGTTTGTTTGCCCTGCAAACCCAGGGGGAGGCAGTGTTGGCTCCATACCATATATGTGGCTGGTATGCTATGGTTGGCTTGGTGGTGCAGGTCTGCTGTTTGTGCAGATGCTCACTCTTATCTCTAGGCACAGGGTCCACAGTTTTGAAATCCAGTTTCAGATGTTACACACAATAGCAAGAGATCCCTTCCATGTCAACTTTTCACACTTTATGCATAACATGCAAAGTGAAAGTTTGCTGAGCTTCCACATGCATCACAAAAGAGGTGAATGGGTTTCCCTTTAGAGGTGCACACTGAGGAAGGAGGAGTGATGGGGTTCTTCTGTTGCCACGGATAACTTCAAAACATCCATCCCAAGGCAGGTGTCTGTGAGTGTAATGTCACCCTCAGTGTCTTTCCCTGTCACCCAGAAAGACTCTGAGCCCTCCCACTCACTGTTCCCTTTGTCATGAGATGGTGAGGGTGGTTACCCTATTCTCACTGGGGAAAACATAAAGCTAGAAGAGGAAGTCGTAAGAATGGTGCTCATTTCCACCTTTTTTCACCTCTGTGTTTTCCAAGGTACAGGTTTGTTCTGCTGGATCTGACTTCTACCCAGATTCCTTGGAAAAGTGAAGAGAAGAAAGGGCTTGATCCGGGGAGGAAGGGAAAAAGTGAACAGGGAGGCTGATGGTCACTCAAAAATCTAAGTGTGTCCCTGGGCCTAAAGAAGGTTGGTGCCCTCCCCCAAGGCTGAAGATGCCCCCCAAAGACTTAACACTCTCATCATCTCAGATGGTAGCCTGGCCAATACAGGTCACAAATCTGACATAATAGATTGCTTCAGAACCTGTTATAATGACCACCAAACATCATTCTGTCCTCCTGCATCAGTTATTTCCTTCTGTTTAAACTGCCTGGTGTCTAGTTCTGTATTTAGCAGCCAAAAGGTCCGTCACACATCACCTTCTTATTTAAAAGTCATCTAAAATCTGCTCATGTCCCCATGTTAATTTTTGACAAGGTTTTTCAGCTATATGCAGCTTCCCCATTTTATTTAGACATCCAGCAATGACAGATGCAGAACTAAATGTCTGTGTTCAGGGTTATATCTGCCTCTTTCCAGATGGACTGTTTTCTGAGGTTTTTATATGGATTGGAATTTGGAGATATGGAGAGGGAGAGAAGCATCTCTTACAGTCCCATCATAACACTTCAAAGAAAGAGAATTTAAATCAGGCTTTTACTACATTCAGCCTGCACTAAATCTGTCTAGGGCTAAAATATTAAAATGAAGGTAAAATTAATTATTGATCTGCATTCTTTATTCACTGACACTTTTTGTCAATTAAATCAGGCTGCATTTTGCTAGGTACCCTATATTATATCCCATAATAGCCACTAATAATTTTTCTACACTTTTCTTTGTTGCTGCTGTGGATTTAGCAAATTCCCTTAACTCTTGGCTGACCAAGTTAAAGTGCCTTGAGACCATTAGGAACAACACAGTGTTATAGGGATGGTGTGAAAAGATAAATAAATGTAACAAGTCACTTCATTAAATACCTTCCACTTCTAAGGTGTGACTTATTCCCTAGTTGTAATTCACCTTATGTGGTCTAGCACAAGGATTACCATTCATACGTGTCTGAGAGCATGAGAGAGATAGAGATTCATACACACCCCACATAGTTAATCAATAATTTTGACACCACACATTTGCTATCCTCATGTACTTCTCACCTCACAACTTTTCAGCTGTCTCAATACATCAAGAGCAGCTTCTCAACACAACTTTCCCCCCACCAGTAAGTTCTACAAACAGACATTTAAACCAAAGTCATCCTGTTGTTGCCTGACAGCTATTGTTACAAAAACAAGCTCTCAAAGTAGCACCTAATGAGGTAGGGAACAAGTGTAAATGGGGTTGACTCTCCTTTTACTGCATAGCTCATTTATAACCACCACACTACCTCAGGAGAGATGACGCAGTTATGAGGCATCCTTCACTTTGTCCTGACAAACCCGAGAAGCTTGTGCCCATTCATTCAGCAGATGGGCAGCAGTGCTGAGAAAAATGGTGGGCTTCCTGAACAAATGTAGTAAAACGGCAAGACAACAATACAATAGGAAGTTGGAGGGAAGCAGAGCCGGCAAGTCCTGGGGGATGGGGGTTAATGATGAGAATTAGTAATGGTTGGCAAATCAGGCTGGACCACAGGAGCATATTTTAGCACACCAGCACATACCTCGCAACAGTCCAGCTGTCAGGGCAAGCCTTTGACTGCATTCACCTAAAGCAGAACTGGCTTACCACATTTTGAATGAAATGATATACATAGCTATCTCAAGAGGGGGTGGTCCAGACTCTAACACTGCCCGTCTTTACTTCCCATGGCATTTGGAAAGTGCATTCATGCTTACTTGCGGAGGCAGGTAGTGTGGTGGGATAGAGCTGCAGACCCCAGCATCTCTGAGGCTTACCTGGGTGCAGGCTTGTGCAGAGCTTGCATGAGGTCCAGGGCAGGAGTCCTGTTAGAATAAAGTTATAAATTCAAACAAAAATGCAGCCAGCCCCTAGCAGGGCTCCCCGTCCAGCTTTTCCCTCCAAGACCCAGGGCAAGTTTACCTGGCTGCCCCACCCTGTCCACGGGCCTGCCTGGATGGGGCAGGGCAACTAGAAGTAGTTCAAATGCATTTCTGCTAGTGCATCCACACAGCTATGACCCCATTGCCACTCTGGATTACTCCAAACAAGTCTGAAGTGCAAGGTCAAATTCATTTGAATGTTTCCATAGTCTATCTAGGAGAGTGATTCTCGTTACATTCCCCACAGTTTGCACACTGTCTTGATGTGTCTTCTGACTTTTTGTTCCGTTTCAGCCAGATATCTCTGCATCCAGCACTTGTGATTTATTCCACTGATGTCTTATAAACCAGACTGTGAAAATTATACTATGTTTGATGCACCAGACTTTCCAGAACTACAAAATCTCAAGGTAGTCTGGAAACTATAGAGACCCAAGGATCACTAAATCTTACCACAGAAAGAAAGAAGCTTCATTGCATTACTGTAAGCTCCAAATGATTAAGAACTGCAATTTGCTTTTAAATACTCATGAACTTGCACGTTAATCTGTTAGCAGTATGATTCCAAAGACTCTGTAAAATAGATTGGCTAAGCTCTTGCCCACATGCGCAATTCTGTACAAGATGTAGAGCAAAAGCATGTTTCCTCTCTCTCCAAGCAAGCCTGCCTCATCTCCAGTACAACTAGCCATCTATCTACACTTTGAACATATTTTTTAATAAGGCGTATATGCATAAAAGCAGACACACATAGGGTGCAATATGAAGGGTGAAATCTAGGGCTGTGTATTTTGGATTCTGCATTTAAGAATATTACATAAGTGTGTGTGTGTGTGCGCACGTGCACGTGCACGCACGCCTATTTTTATGATTATTTCAATTTGTAACTGTTAGTGAAGCGTACAAACTTTCTGGTGTTGTGAGCCACCCTGAGCATAGTTCACTGTGGAAAGGCAGCATACAAATAAGTACAATACACCCAGTGTGTTGCAATGAAGGGCAGATGTCCTAGCTGGATGGGCAGAAAGCACATTTTCACTCCCAAGCATGTGTAGGATTCCACATTGTCCCATATGTCTCTCTGTGATAGCTATCTTATGAACACTTTCAGATACTCAAGGGGAACTGGGCTATCAAACAGGAAAGAGTGGTGAAATTGCTTATCTAGGATATGTGTGGAAGTGGCAACTTGCTGCATCAGAATCAGTCAGAGCCAAGACTGTGTATAGCTAGCCAAGGTCATAGCAGGTAATGTGTCCCAAGAGCCATTGGAATAGGGTGGACAAGTAGGTTAAGCTGTTGAGTCAGAGCCAAGACCAGTTGGTCCTAGCATAAGACTAGTGAGTAGAAGATAGAATGCCAACATAAAGACAAGAACCACATTTGTAGGACTGTCCTCAGTAGTGAAATGCTTGAGCATTATCTAAACAAGGAATTAAACATAAACTTAAAAGCCAGGCTCAAGGAACTTCGTGTGCATCAGCCCTAACTGAAAATATATATAATTTAGCATGAAAGTTATTTAAAGGAAAAAATTGTGTCAGTTCATGCATGCCAATTAGCCCCTAATTTTCCTCTTGAAATGGCTCAAGTATCGAATTGCTACACTTATTTGGCAATCCAAGGAAGTTTAAAGAGCAATTTAATGATCAGTGCAAGGAAGAAGTCTTGAAAACATAGTAAACAAATAATAATAATAAGACATGCACAAATGGTGGGGGGGTGTCCTGTGGATCACAGATGGAAGTGCCAGTGAGGAGGGGAGACACTAGATAACTCAGCACAAGGCAATTCTTTTATTAGGCAGATGTCCAAAGAAAAAATGTTGAGTCTCAAGGGTTGATGCTATTTTACCAGGGCTCTAGCCAGTGATACACTATCCCATCTAGAGCACTGATTTATTTATTTTAAAGAAAGCTAACTTTTAAAAAATCCTTTTTAATTTATGGCATGACCATTTCCATTTGATGAATGGCAGCTTTATTTTTGTTGTTTTAAAAAGTCAGTTTTTCACTAGCAGTTGATGCTTTTCTCCCTTAAAATGGTTATGCTCACCCCTCCATGAAACCTGACCAATGCAGTTCTGCCCACACAAGATTCTCCTTGTTCAGCATGGATCTTTCATGTCTAAATGATGTTGTGGCAAAATCGCCCCCCCCCTTCAGATATTAAGGTTGTCTGAAAGGATGCTTAAAGGGGTAAATTGTGTATTTTAAAGAAGATGATCACTACAAACAGACTAAAGCTTTTATTGTATGTTTCTTAGATAAAAAGAAAATTAATAGAAATATGTAGCTTGGTTGCAAAGCATCTGATTTGTATGCAGAAGGTCCCAGGTTCAATGGCTGGCATCTTCAGGTAGGGCTGGAAATGACTCCCTGCCTGAAACCCTGGAGAGCCACTGCAAGTCAGTGTAGACAATACTGAATGAGATGGACCAGCAGTCTTATTCCATATAAAACAGCTTCCTAGGCATGTTTCTGTGCACAAGATTCTTGCCTACTTTTCAGTTGCCTGAAGTGAGAAGCCTAGGAGAAGTGTGGGACACCGTCATTGCTCCATGCCATACTGCAGCTGCAGTCAGAAGCTAAATGGGAAAGTACTGTCCATGCCCAACTGGTTTAGCTCTAGAGCTAAATGTTGCTTTGCCCAGGCACAAAACCCATATGCAGGACTGCATGGAGACTATGAAGAAGAATTGGTATATAACTCCATCATTGCTCTTTCCCATATTTACCAGGACATTAAAGTGGCAGTCCCTAAATGTGATAATGCATTTGCAATTAGAGTGTATTAAAGTGCCTTCTTGCCCTACTGCACCAATCCACACCCACCCATACAAAACCAGACCTTTTTTTCATTTAGGAAAATGACAAGGAAGTGCACTGAACAATATTTCAATGCTAATTCTACTCGGAGCAGAGCCACTGAAGTCAGTGGACATGACTAAGGTTTCTTAATTTCAATGGGTCAACTCTAAGTAGAACTTAGCTGAATGTGCTCAATAAAAAAAGAACACAATCTAAGCAGCCTGTAAGATTTCTGTAAGCAAATAAGGATAAATACTGAATAAACAAGTAATCTAGAGGAATTCTATAAAATGAGTGGGGACAATAACTTGTGATTTCTTTTCTACTTCTACAATCATTAGATAATTCCTTTTGACCTCCCCCTTGTGCCAAAAACAGGCATAAAGAATAAAAAAATTGAAAATGCCAGAAATTATTTTTGCATGCTGTAAATTGTCCTCTCAGCTTTATGGGAGAATGAGTTTACATCTACACTTTCAGAGGCTGTGCTTTCATGTTGTGTTTGTTAACAGGAAATTCAATAAGGAATAGCCAGTTATGAGCCAAGCCACTCAATAAAGCCGGAATTGCCACTTAGCTGCCAACTGCTTTCTATCTCACAAACGGTTGTTCAAATCTGGAGAAAAAGGTTCAGGGTCATACATACTTCAACTCTGACAAATAGGACAAGGAAATTCCAAGGTACTAAATAGCTCCAACTGCAAACTAAAGTAAAATAAAAAATACAAAAAAATGAATCTTATATTAAGAGATATGGAAGATTTATTCTGCTTCCTGCTCATTTCTCTCCTTGCTCTCAGTTGATGAGAGCTGTTTTCTATGTTGCTGCTTCTGCCAGCAAAGATAATATGCTTGTCAGATTACCTGTGCCTTTGGTAGAAACACAGTTTGATTAAAAGAGGCTTATAACGTATTACCTTCAGCAAACACTTGTCTCTCCATACACACCACACTCATGGTGGATGTGATTTGTTATAAAATCATCAACTCCTTCCTGTAACCTGGAATTTTCAAGATGTACAACTGTCTGAGAGTTCTGGCACATAAGAATGATTCAATGGCTCAGGGTATACATAACTCTTTAATGCTGTGCCATGTGCCTTCTCCTCAACAATAACAGTAACAACCTTCCCCCTCTTCCCCAAAAAACTATGGGGCAAATGTACACACACACACACACACACACACACACACACCAGTCAAGCTTGCATTATAGCACCATGCTCATGCCTCTATGTCTTGTTTGTTCTTCTGCAAGTCTGCAACCTAGGGAACATAGTTTAGTGTGTTTTTTACCATTAAATGATCTGGAACACTGGGCTAAGGGAAGCTGCTTTATACCACGGTTCCCTCTAGTCCATCATTGTCCTTTTACTGTTTACACCCAGGATTAGCCACACCTGAATTCAACCCTGGAGTGTGTTTTCTTCAGCCCAACATCCCTGAGATCCGTTGTTGGCCCAGGCTCTGAAAAGCAGCTTACTGCTAGGAGGATCTGCTTTATTGAGATGGATACTAATACTATCAAGGAGTCCAGCCACAAGAGACTCACAATGCCTGCCAGTTACAGGTCAATGCTGCACTCTTCTCCATTCCATATCTGAGGTGGGATGCTGCAACCCAATGGTTGTTCACTAGGCTAATTTCAAGCCTAATGAAGCTCCTGAGGTTCCTAGATCATGGCTCCAAGTCCCTGGCATTGCGAGAGGGTCTTGCTTCCCCAACAGCCACAGCCTTGGAATCCCTCAGAAATCAGGTATATAGCTTTGTCTACCAGCTGCCCAGCCTGCAGCCTTGCTTCTACCTTCGAGCTCACATAACTCAAACTCTCAACTCTAGCCTTTGTCTTTCTAACAACCAGCGAGTTGAGGAAGGGTGAACCACCCATTTGTCACCCTGCACAGAGCCGCTTCCTTTGTTACCTTACTGGCTCCTACTCAGAGGGCCATTACCTCACCAGGAAGCTAGCATGGCTATTCCAGGAACTGAATCTGTGCTGGATCTGGTCTACCAAGTTTGTAATCAAAACCCCAAGTTTGTAATCAACTCCCAGCATGAAAGCTGCCCATAGCTGCAAATGGTGGTGGTCTTTTCCTAGAAAAAAGGTGCCAGTACTCTATCACGAGCACCGACAGCGAGGCAACCAGGGTGCACACGGCCAGCAGCAGGGAGCAGAGCGTGATAGGGGAAGCACATCAGATGCTGTGCTGCCCACTCTTGCACTCCTCAGGGAGTGGCACTCGTACATTCCACCAGCCCTGGGAGGTGGCAGCAGTGGTTAGGCCTGAGGAGGGCTTTGTTCATGCCATGGCTCCTCATGAGGCTGAGTGTCTCGGGGCGGGGGGGTGAGTTGTTGGTTCTGCATACCAGTGCATACCACAAGGAAATAAAACACTAGTTGTAAAGCAGTGAGATGAAAGACCAACCTTATCACTTTTCTGGCATGTGCCCACCAAACCAAACAAGACACTGGACCAATCCAGGGTTTTGTTTTCTGGTCTGTTGGCAAGCCCACATAGATAGCATCTCTTCAAAGCTGCTCTTTACTCGGATGATAATTCTGCCTTCTTCAATAGTTCTTTAAAAGCTGTGTTGTGGTATAAAGAAATCTATTAGCATGCGTCCTTTTCCTAACATGATTTTCACTGGGTTGCTGCCTTCATTTAATTTTATCTTTTCTGTTAAAACACTCTTAAGACTGAGATAACAAACATAATTCAGCAATTTGTACTTCAGTTCATTCTGACTGATAATTTTCTAATTAATTCCCTCACTCAAAGGGGAGAAAAAACCTTCGCTGATTTTTATGTTTCAATTTAGCATTCAGTTTAGCGATTAGATTAGTAATAGAGTCCATTTTAAAAGATGACACTCTTCAAGGCGAAGTGGGAATGCCTCCCAAATCACATCTTGGTAGATATCTAGCTTATTATTATCTAGCCAGTCAGTGCAGGCTATACTGAGCTAGAATGGTTTGACTCAGTATAAGGCAGCTAAGTGAGATGAACATAAGAAGACTCCTGCTGGATCAGGCCCGTGTCCCATCTAGTCCAATGAGAAGCCTATGGGAAACTCACAAGCAGGATCCGAGCACTTTGCGTGGCAAGTCCCCCTCCCCCCTTGGGAAATAAAGACACAGGACACAGTATTTAAGGTTAACAAGCGGAAAAGGCCACAACTTTATTGATTGCAGGAATTGAGCGGTATTGGCTTAGGCATTCGTCCTAACAACTAACCGGCTTCAGCCCGATTGCATGAAGGCCGGTAAGGGTTAACCACCAGTGGGGGGGGAGTCCTGCTGATGTACATCAACTAGGAGCTCCCCCGGGGTCACCGCTCGGGGGCATGCCTTAGGCCCACACCTCCATAGGCTTTGGACAGGGCAATGCCCCCCGGAATCCTTTACCAGACTACCGGACTACTTTACCAGGTCAGCTGGAACAGCGAAGAGAGGGCGGTCCTCAGGCGCGCCGGCCATAAATAGCTCAGGCCACGCCTCCCTGGCAAGCCCATTGGCTGGACAGGGCAATGACGTGCCCGAGGATTCCCTCATTCTCGCGGGGGCTGTGAGTCAGCCCCCGTGTGCGTGGGGAGGGCGTGGGCCCGCAACCCCACCTCCTTTCCAGCTCGGAAGTGGCTTTCTCCTCCTGTGGTTTTCAACTGCATGACTGCCTCCAGCTGTGGAGGCAGAGCACAGCTATCAGCAGCCTTCTCCATGAATCTGTCTACTCCTCTTTTAAAGCCACCCAAGTTGGTGGCCATCACTGCCTCCCGTGGGACTGAGTTCCATAGTTTAACTATGTGCTGCATTAATAAATGCTTTATTTTCTCTGTCCTGAATCTTTCAAAATTCAGCTTCATTGCTTTTCTCCATCTCTCACAACACTAGAACTCACGGACATACAAGTTATCACTGTTCACTTAAATCTAAAGCACCAGATGTATTTGTGCATGCAGTTCTACTCCCAGGTGCAATCTCATGAATGTATTTATCACATGAATGCTTATTTTGCTCTATGCTGCACCTAATATTATGGAATCTGGCGAAATTACAGGAGGCAATTTGTAGCAGAGCAGTGAAAACATTGTGAGAAATCAGATTTTGCAAGAATTCTTAATTGTTGTTGATACAAATTTGCCCAAAACAAAGACTTCTTGGTCTTGAGTAAACATGCAGGACATTTATTTAAAGCATGGTGTATATCACTGTAGCTGGATGAGAATTCAGATCAGCAATATTTGTTCTGCATTCTAGTTCTTGCTAACTTGGGTGGCACAATTTTATTCTGTGAACTGCCCTAAGACCCCCAGGTATAGGGCGGTATATAAATTCAATTTATTATTATTATTATTATTATTATTATTATTATTATTATTTAAAACCCAAGTAGAGTCCAACACTTACTATGGATGATAAGACATAGTTAGACCCACTGAATTTAATGGACTTAAGCAACTTAAAACCTATTGATTTAAATGGGCATGTTCTGAGTATGACCAATACTTGATATCTCCCTCTATTAATAAGTAATTTAGAGGCACTCCCAGTCTGCAATTTTTACATGATGAGCACTCTCATCACAGTTTGCAATTACACATTCACACAAAGAGGTTGGAGTAAAAGGACATATCATCACATACAAGCAGCCAAGGTAGCTCCAAAGTTCTTCAAGAAGAAGCAGATCATTAGGCATTTTTTAATACCAGAGCAATTTCCCCACTTAACATCACTCCTAGGAGCAACATCTGGAAGCTGCCTTAATCTCAAGAGATGCAGCAAAATGAAAGAAATAGATTAAATATGTTTATGTATATTTAAGGAATAATACCAATGAGCACCAACATACGTCTTTGAGACATTTCCCGACTTCAGGGAGAAATAAATTAAACATGCAATAAAAGTTTATTGCTGTTGGGAGATTTCACTTTGGAAAACCTGCTAGGGATAAATTTAATGGCATTGTAAATTTTATTTTGCGAGGAATGATTATTTGGGCCTGTAAGGACTGACAATTCTGTGTAAATCTAATCAGCTAGCTAGCAATTAATAATATTAAACTGCCTCACATCTTTTGAACGCTTGAATGACCCACGATGTGCTGAGGAGTCTACCCCTTAAAAAGCCGATTATTCACAGACCAATTAATGCTTACTTGGCATGTTCAAAAAGTAAGCATTCCCCACCGCTATTATTATTATTTTTTTAAAAAAGGAAAATCATCCCCTCCTGTCATAGCAAGATACTACTTTCCTTTGATGCAGCTGAAAGAGCTCCCAGAACCTTTTCCCAATTCAGCTTTCCCAGATTAATTTCTTACATTTTAGCAAGAGAGAAGAAAATCATTCATTCCTGTGATTTATCCCCTAGTAAAGCACTCTCCTAATGTTCCTCCTATTTTGACTTTTAGAGAGGCTTTAGGCTTTAAAAATTGTCAATATGCTCAGTTGGGCACTGGAGTTACCATGCTTATGGTTTCAGCCACATGAAATATACAGCCTACTGTGCTGCCCTCCCCCCACCCCAATTTTGGAGCAGGTTTGGGAGGTGCACAGAGGCTGTAGGAAAAAGGGGTAATCTGTTCCATCAACTATGTCTATTTCACTGATAGATAAACACCATTGGATGTCATGCTTTAAAACACACACACCATTACTAGAAGACTTCTCCTTGCTCTCAGGATACTATACTTAACCACCATGAGCCCAGTGCATATGTATTAAAATTAAGACACCACACATCATACATAGCCTCACATTTCACATGAATCAATTTAGGCTCATTTTGAATGAATGAGAATGGTGACATATCAAAGGACAAAATGAGCCTTTAACTGGAAGAACAAGCACACAGGAGAGGTTGTGTGATGCAGTGGTCAGAGTGCTGGAGTAGGATCTGGGATATCAGAGTCTGAATATACAGTCAGGTCACTAAGTTGAGACCAGCCACCATCTCTCAACCTAGCCAACCTCTTAGAGATACCTATAAATATTTACATTGCAAGTAGAGGACTCACCAGAAAAAAATGAAAGAACTTTTTTCCTAAGGTCACTAGGACTGCTTTCTTGACTTTGAATGAATTAATAAATGACTAATCAGTTATGTCAACCAGTCAGTCAGTCAAATTTATTTGTTAGAAACCATTGGTCATCAAAAAAAATTACATGCTACCATTATTCATACCTTAAATGTAAATGCCCACCACTTTCCATACTTAATGTCATATATTTACATATTTAGAAGGACAAATGTAAGCATTAGCCAGTCATCAAAGATATAAAATTAATGAGCTGAACTAGGGCATTAAAAGGAGAATAATAAAATTTGTGCACTCATCACAAATTTTTAAGATGGATTAGTTGTGCAATAGACATGTATGCTGACTGCACAAACTCAGATTCATGCTTGCCGCACAATAAGATTTTTTAACAAAAGTACTGTTGTGGTATTTTATTTTACATGTGTTTAACCTGCTTTAAGCTAAAACTGCCAACCCTGACTCTTTTGTAATTGTTTCTTACAGTTTAATGAAAATATGATTTTATATGCTCTAAGCTGCCCTAAGTGGAAGGCGATCTTTCTCTAATAATAATTTTTAAAAGAAAAAAGACACTGTTTATTGTCAACAGAGAAAATCACCTTGAGCAATTTACACTTGGGCAATACTTTAGTTAGGGTAAGCCAAAATGTCACAAAATACAGAGCAAGATTTTATGTTCACCACACCTTTTAATCAGGTTGAATGCTAAGGGTTAGGAGTAAGAGGGTATGGCTAAAAGGGGGGCGGGATATTAAAAAATCACTTGAGCAGGTAGTCTCAAGACAGAATGAGGAGCAGATTGCACACTTAATTGGATTAGTCTCTGCTGGTTTTAAGCAGGTGTCAGGTTACCCTCTAGAAGTATAGGGAAAATAAGCATTGGCTGATCTCTACATTTTAAAAATGCAACAGTTACCCAAACTTAGATTTTGGAATTAAGCTGCTTATGTTATTATTTCAACCTTCCTAAATATAAACAATATATAAATAATTGTACACATACATGCATACAAATGTTTTCTGTTGAAGCATGGAAGACTAAAATCTATTGTTTAAAGTTTGCCTTTGATAACACCTTCCTTTTTTATAACATTTTATTGGTTTTGTAATAAAATGATAAAATCTTCTGTTCCTAGGAAAGTTGGCAAGTTATTCTATCATTAAATGAAGACAAAGGGAGAATACATATATGCTTTCCATTTTTAAGACCAACTTGGTTTAGAAAGCCAAGATAACTTGTTGGCACCCTAGCTCCAGGTATTCTTGGAGGAAATTCTGAATCTAAATCTTTTTAAATTTGGATTTCAAATTTGGTTTTGCGTATATTCCAGATTACAGACTATTACAGATTATTGTTGGCCTTGAATTTTGTTAACCTGTTCTTATGGCTATATATTTATTCTCGTTGCTGTATGTTTATATATTTGTCAGTAAAAATAAAGCATCTTCTAAATCTAGTGGTGCTTTTGTTTCTCTCTTATATTCTCAATCGGAAATCAATACTGTTTTGCCTTGTGCACAACCGCCAGCTATTGAAGTCGCTTCCAAGACTTGGCTCACATTTCCAGCATTTATAATTTCTGCTTATCTGATGTAGTCTTTCTGGAATCATGTACCAGCTGGATGTAACCTTATGACAACTTTCACATACATTTCCATAGAATGAAAAAGTTATGCACACTTTCCCATATATACTTCCTATATCATGACCCTACTGTAACATACTCATTCTTCTTCACAAAATAGGGAGAATTAAACTTTACTTTTAGGCATCAAATGCTTTCCATCAGCCACAATATATACTTATATTGTCAGAGTTTGTAAAGAGTGAATGGAATGGCCAAAAGTATACTGGGTGGCATTTAACTAATGTTTACTCATAGTAAACCCACTGAAATTAATTAACATGAATACGTTAGGTCCATTGATTTCAATGGATCTCCTCTGAGTAAACATTAGTTAAATGCCACCCAGTATACTTTTGGCCTTATCTTAAACGAAGGCTGCACAATTTGTAGCCCACCAAACTGAACTAAGCCATACTTTGGCACCTGCAAATAATTTGATTGCATCCCCTATAGTTGCAGGTACAGGGAGACAGGAGGAACAGGACGTTTGTTAGGCAAATTTATCACCAATGATCAAACTTTGATTGACTCCAAACTTTGCCATACTTTGGAGGGATTCTGAGTGTGCTCCCAACAAGGAATGCAAACTTTTAAAAAATAAAAATAAAACAGGATTGAGGACTTTCTACGAGTATGTGTGTAGAAAGTAGCCCACGGTGCAAAAATTGAATTCATTGCTCCACCCACTTTTTCCTCTGGCTCTGTCCGTCAATTGCATGTGAGTCTTTGAAGGCTGCCCAGGAGGGAATGTGATCCACAGGCAGGAAAAGTTTTCTCACCCGTTTTAAGCCCTCATTGCTACATATCCCAAAACTTTCAACAGCCCATCTACCAATCCTTGCCTGTGCCTTTTATCATTCTGTGTTCAGCTCTCTTCAGAATAGTATACAACATACTGTATACAGTTTTTAGTTTGCCTTGCAGAGTGCTTGATATATCTACTGCATCTAATTCCTTTGCTTTCACTTGAAAGTAAGTTTCAATTTACCCATCCTTTTGAGGCATACTGGAGCAGAGGTGTGAGGAGCAATCTCTGTTTCCAGAGCTAATCATCAGAGAGAGGTGGTAGGTTGCGCAACAGGAGAATTTCTTAGGTTGAGATCTTATGGACTGACAAGTTTCTGAATTGGTATCTCATGAATATCTTTTAGCCTAGTATTTGTTGGGGGTATTTGTAAAACTGCAAGGAACTCTGTAGTGATGTTGTTCAACTTTCTTCCAATGAATCCAGCTGAGTAACATATAGCACCTCCAACAATTTCAGCTGCCAGGTTTTAGATCTTACAGAACCAATAGTGCTCTTTCACCAAAGTCATTCTCTGCTCCAATTAGATTACAGTCTTACTCCATTATCAATCACAAGCCAAGAAAGCTATGTTCATTTCAGACACAGCTGCATATGGTATGCCATCTCTCTATCTCCCGCTCTGCAAATCAGTACTTCATGAAGAAAAATGAATGTATATGTCTTCTTTCTACATAAGAATCCCTCAGAGAATTGGTTCTGTCCCTTTGGAAATGCAATGACACTGCAGAAAACAAAGCCGTTCTGTTGATGTTACAAGCACAAAAACCAATGTCATAAATGAAAGTGGAATGGAGATTGATGCACAAAACCCCTAATGACATCTGGTCTTGAATGAGCCAAATATGTAAATTTTTCATGAGAACAGGCACGGCACCATCCAGTACGATGGTTCATCCTCAGACATCTTCCCTATAAACAGCAGTGTGAAGCAAAGCTGCATTCTTGCAGCAACTCTCTTGCAGCATATTCTTCTCTCTGTTGCTCTCCTATGCTTTCAGTTTGACCGAAGATGGAATATACCTCCATTCAAGGAGAAACGGGGGTCTGATCAACCTGGCACATCTCCATACCAAGAACAAAGTGCAATGGGTTCTTATCCAAGAGATGTTATTTGAAAATGATGCTGCCCTGATAGTGCATTCCAAGGAAGCTCTACACAGACTCATCAACCATTTTGCCCAAACCTGCAGGGAGTTTGGCCTTACCACCATCCTGATGAAGATCAACATCCTGAGTCAGGATGTTGCCAGCACCCCACGCATCAGCATTGAGGTGGTAAATGATGCTGTCTACCTGGACTCCACAATAACCAGCAATCTCTCCATCGACACTGAGCTTCACATGAGTATGGGCAAGGCAGCTATGGCAATGGCTTGCCTCTCCAAAATGCTATGGAAGAAATGTGATGCTAGTGACCAATACCAAGATGAAGGTCTGCCAGGCTTGTGTGTTGAGCACATTGCTTTATGGAAGTGACTTGTGGGCAATTTACACCCACCAGCAGAGACACCTCAATACCTTCCATATGCACTATATCAGGGAGATTTTGGGAATGGCAGGACAGAGTCTCAAACAAAGATGTGCTCTCCCAAGCCCCCATTCCCAGCATATTTGCATGTCTGTCTCAGTGATGTCTACACAGGCTTGGTCAGATCTGGCCCAGTGAGCCAAAAATTGTTCCCCACAGCAGATGTACAATAAATAGTATACAATTACAGCATAAGGTGGTAAGTCTGTTAGAAGTTCTCTGCAGCCATCTTGAAAGTCACCTAGCTTGTATCCAATGGTTATGCAAGTGGAAAACAACTCAGGCAACCCATCCTGCCCTGCAGCCCCTCTATCCTCCAAAAAGTCTCTCCCGAGGGTAACATGGGAATCTACCGAACAATGTAAACTGTATCATATAAGCCTACAGTCCCAGGAGCGGGAGGGAATTGATCAATATTAGGTGCAGGAAGGAACACTGGGCAAATGGAATGGACAGGTCCATCGGTCCTACTATTCTGGGCATCTTTTCAACAAGATGGAGGGTGATAATGCTTTAATTAAATAAATAATACATTTTTTGTTTCTATCTGTATAGTGAATGAAGAGGCCCAAACAGAATTGTGGATCTCTTACTTTAGGACTGATCCTGTTTAACATATTTCTATAGTAAATTATTCTATTCGGAAACAGTTCTGGACCTGCTCAATTCATGCTACTTCATGTGAGAGATTGCAACATTTTCCAAAGAATATTCATTGCATTTTGTGTTTGCTTTGTTTTCAGAAAGGTCATCAATCTCTGTTAACTCTGGTTTTGCTGCTGTTTAATAAAAGTCCTGCAGCTGCAATTCTTTGTGATGTGTGTTTGTATATGTATGAATAAAATATGTTATATAAATATCACCAGCAGGACAAACTCAACCTTTATAGCACCTCAGCTTTGGAATGTGCTATTCTAATCTTATTTATTTTTATTTATAAGATTTCTCACCCACCCTTCACTGAAACAATCCAGGGTGGTTTACAACACTATAATATGGAATCCTTTTTTAAAAAACAAGCAAGATAAAACTATTACAATTATGAAACAAGTAAAACCATTCCAGATGGAACAGAACAGTCCAAGTTCAATAAAAGAGATGGGCCCCATAAAACAAACTACCTCAGCTGACAAAGGACAAGATAAAAAGGTGTGTCTTCAGCATATGGCAAAAGCTGAGGAATGATTATGCTAGGATTTAGGCTAAGTAGTGAGGGAGCCAAGTTTGCTGATGACACCAAGTTGTTCAGGGTGACAAAAACTAAAAGGAATTATGAAGAGCTCCAAAATAATTTACTATATTAGATATAATAATAGAGAAAACAGTGGAAAGAAATGTGATGGGGGTTTTTATATTAGCAAAGCTACGTGTCAACTTAAATGGTGTACTATGGAAAAAGTCAATAGAAGCTGAATTAGGTAGCCTTACCTGGAAGGAAGGTTCCTCTCCTTTACTGCACTGGAAGTTCTGAATACATTTGCAAATGGACAAAAGGATGATTGCCAGAGGTGGAGAATGGTCAGCAAGTTTGTTGTTGTTTAGTCATTTAGTCGTGTCCGACTCTTCATGACCCCATGGACCAGAGCGCGCCAGGCACTCCTGTCTTCCACTGCCTCCCACAGTTTGGTCAAACTCATGCTGGTAGCTTCAAGAACACTGTCCAACCAATGGTCACCAAAGAGCTTTGTAAAGAAACAATTTGTAGACCCTTGATCAGAATATGTGTTCCCCTTGCTATCTTCCCTTTTCTTGTGTGTCTTTTTTCAGTATCAAGCCTCATGACAGGGCCTGTCTCATTTCCTTTTCTTGGCATGATCTGCTTTGCGAGATGATGATGATGATAGTCTGAAAAGTGGAGTAAAAATATCATGCATAAACAAACAAACAAGAACAATCTATTTCTATATTTAATCATTTTTTCTAGTTTTTCAGATGGTCCTTTCCTTGCTTTAAGCCCTGTTTCATGCTCACAGAAATAAGAATTAAAAGGAATAAAACGTTCTTTTAATGGTCTTCATTTGAACCTGACTAGAATAGGTAATTGTGCTCCTTCCCATGGTACCTTGCTCCACCATAAGGAAGGTCACGTCCTCTCTAAAAATCAGGACAGATAACTCTTGAATGGTCTCACGTGCAGTTTAATGAAGGGGACAGGTAATTATATAAAAGCCTCCCAAAAGAGAAGCAAAATATATTTTGACCTTTACATTGCAACACACTGCATTTTCTGGAAACAATGTCCTTACTTCTTAATTTAGAATTGAAAAAGATTTGCCAGGTCTGAACTAGTTATATTTCTTAACCATTCACCACTGCCAACTGCCTATAGATTTCCTATAAGTAAGACTCATTCATTGTGCAAATTAGATCAATCTCTTTGCTCCAAGGTTGTAATCTCAGCAGTGATACCTGCCTGTTGCGATGACAAGTAATTTTCCAAGTTAGGGGCTAGCTTCCAGAGAATTCTGTTACTCATTCGATTTATCAGCTCATCAGAATACTTTATTGGTTCACAGAGATTCGTTAACCTTCCGCCACTTGTTATTCTGCCCATATGACTATTACCACTACTGCTATCTCAGAAATGATGTTTTTTAAAAGGTATGAGAATAGACTGCAGTCCTGTCAAATGCAGCAAAACCAAATCACTGTCATCACTCCTATTTTCAGACCACTAGGTATTGATTACATTGCAGGTATTCCAGAATAATTACTTCTGAACAAGTCGGAAATCCATAACAAGCACCATCAAGCAAATTTACATTTTAATGCTACAAATATTTTCCATTGCATTGACATATCGGTGCAAGGGGTTAAAATAAACTGCTTTTACCTTTCCCATTAAAACTCTTGAAATAAGATATTAGACGCCGGATACATCTCAACATATGCTTTCTGGGAGTGAGGATAAAATAACATTTATACCCCTGACTTTTCTATAAATATTTTTAAGTAGTTCTGTTTAAAGAAAGGTGCAGTAGTGGTCTGGGTGACAGAGCAAATGCTAAAGCTCTATAAATTAGGAATGTGCAAAAGATTTGGATGAATCCCAAAACAAGTACCAAAGCAGGGCCGCTCTGAAAAGTTTGGGCTTGTTCAAGCCAAAGTGGAATTTCTTCAAAGCACCTCAAAGTGAGGCAGGAAAGTCCAAAAAAAATTACGTACAATGCATTTTTTTCCAGTGAATGAGTCTAACAGATTCAGCACATTCATTTCCCTTCCGCATGCTGACAAGAAAAGGTAACAGGCAGTGCTTTTTTTCTGGGGGAACACAGGGATACGCATACTCCTAAACATTTTGTGAATCTAAGTTTGGCCTCATTGAGGGGCAGTAATTCAATTTGAGAAAATGATAGTACCCCTAAAAAAAAAAATTTAAGAAAAAAAGCACTGGTAAACAGGTCATTTATGTGCAGGCCAATTATCTTGCCTAGAACAAAGAAATAATTTTGGGATGGGAAGAATGAAGCTATAATTTTAAGGTTTTCTGTGTTTTGTCTTTCTCCAGTCTTAAATTTGGCTTGCCACATGTCAACATACATTTGCTTTATTTTATTTTAAACGAAAGTCTATGTGAAAATTGATACTTGTTTTCCTGGGCATTTCTCCTCAAGCCTGGATTACTGCAAATGCACTCTATGCTGGGGCTAATAAAGTGCATTTTTGTACATTATTTTCATGAATATACACATCTTCTACAGCACATTTCACATAAGTAAGCATTTCTATAGGAATTATTTGTACAGAGAACTACTTTGCAAAATTTAGAGAAGAGTTTTGTTTCAGTTCCTATAATGGTTTAGAAAGTACAAATTGGGCAGGGTTTTCATAAAAATGTGAAAAGAATTACAGTGGTACCTCGGGTTACAGACACTTCAGGTTACAGACTCTGCTAACCCAGAAGTAGTACCTTGGGTTAAGAACTTTGCTTCAGGATGAGAACAGAAATCGTGTGCCAGCAGCACAGCAGCAGCGGGAGGCCCCATTAGCTAAAGTGGTACCTCAGGTTATGAACAGTTTCAGGTTAAGAACGGACCTCCAGTACGAATTAAGTTCGTAACCAGAGGTACCAATGTATTTTCTTCTCTATCTCTAATTGGGAGGAATTTAATACAATAATTCTTAGTGGCTGTCAGACCTTTGTAGGTGGGATGGTGTTGCTCACCTGCCTTCCCAATGCTGTATGCCACTGCTTGTTACGGTGGCTGTGAGGAAGCAAGGAAGCAAGAAGCCTGGCACAGGGCAGGTGTAGCAGCAGAGCAATCCAATGCTGCACCAAGCTCCCCACTGCCTTGTCCTTCCCACTTGATAACCTGCCATGAGGCATGGCTTTGCGAAGCCAGATGAACACCACCACCCCACAAGCCACTACTGACCATCCTTGGCTTCCTCATTTGTCAAGAGACATAAAACAGAAATACAATCTGTACAGATTTTAAGAATGATGTACAGTGGTACCTCGGGTTACATACGCTTCAGGTTACATACGCTTCAGGTTACAGACTCCGCTAACCCAGAAATAGTGCTTCAGGTTAAGAACTTTGCTTCAGGATAAGAACACAAATTGTGCTCCAGCAGCGCGGCGGCAGCAGGAGGCCCCATTAGCTAAAGTGGTGCTTCAGGTTAAGAACAGTTTCAGGTTAAGAACGGACCTCCGGAATGAATTAAGTACTTAACCCGAGGTACCACTGTAAATGCAAAACACTTCCATCAGAGAAGCCACTGACCTGCACAATCTGATGTGGTTCAGGTTGGCCAGAGCAATGAATCTGACACCACAGATGCCTTGAAGGAGTTGTCAATGCTTCTTAAAAAGCAGCTAATTACAAGCTGTGACTCTGTCATCCCAGTATTTTTCTTTACAAATTAGGAACAGTGAGGTGAGGCAACAAGGAGGAGGCGGGGATCAAAGAATGTAAGAAGCCACCTCAGTAATTATACTGATTTGTGGGGTATTATATTTTTGCTTAAGCCATTGCTTCAAAACAAACACAGCCTTAGGCAAGAATGGATGGACATGTCAGAAGAAACAATAAAAACCAGAATGGGAAATCAAGTAGATATGGGGAAGGTGGCGAGAGAAAAATACATGGCACCCATTTTGAGGACTTGAAAAATAAAAATAAAATTGATGCTCTTTATAATATTAAACAACTCCAAAGCAAAGAGGTAATGTAAAACTGTATTTCTCTAGATTAGTAAACATTTTTAAAATATTTTCAAATAAATAAATACACACACACACATGCATAACATTTTTTATTTTTTTAAAAATCACATATGTAACAGAATAAACTTGTGATAATCTATTTTAAAAGCAGGACATAATTCCAGGTCAGAGATTTATTTCATCCTCCAAGCTAGTTGCCAAATAAGGTGTAAAAAGTAAAATATTTATTCAATTAGTTTTAGCTAATTGAAATGCAAACACAGTACACACTTAATCTATGCAGGCAGGAAAAGCAGCCTACTGTCAGATTTTATTAAGTCTTTTTGCTGTTCTGTGAATAGTCAATAACAAGTGTCTAAACCCAAGAAATGATGTAAAGGTAATGGTCAATGGCAAGGATATGATAAGGTAGTGTTTGCATTCAGGATAATATGAAAGGGTCCAACACATTCCCTGGAAGATTTCTCTCCATGTCAACTAATTAGCATGTTTATTGGGAACATTAATTACTGCGACAGCCTCAGCAATTTTAAGCACATTAACTCTTTAAGCACTATCTACTATCTTTTTCACCAAACATTGCCAAACTCATTTTTTATTACATTAAATATACAACTTCAACATCTCATCTATCTCTTAACTGAGCTATTAAGAAACTTCAGGCGATGCTTTTTCTGGGCTCCCCTACACAGAAGTGGTGGTGTGGTTCACTTACAAGAGTCACTCATCCAAAGCCAAAGGTGCTACTAATACCTGTGGAGCCTCTCTGCTCCCTGCTTGAGGCCCTAAACACTGTGGTCTGAACTGCGTAGCCAATTGGCAGATGTTTCAAAGGAAGGGTTTGTATTGAATGACTTCCAACTCTATAGTTGTATACAAACAGTTATTTGGAAATCACTCTGAAGCTTTCCATGTTAAGTGCCCAGTTAATCCTATCTTTGAGAGGTAAACCTTCTATAGATCCTCTTCTTTGTTGTTGTTGTTTAGTTGTTTAGTCGTTTAGTCGTGTCCGACTCTTCGTGACCCCATGGACCAGAGCACGCCAGGCACTCCTGTCTTCCACTGCCTCCCGCAGTTTGGTCAAACTCATGTTGGTAGCTTCGAGAACACTGTCCAACCATCTCGTCCTCTGTCGTCCCCTTCTCCTTGTGCCCTCCATCTTTCCCAACATCAGGGTCTTTTCCAAGGAGTCTTCTCTTCTCATGAGGTGGCCAAAGTACTGGAGCCTCAGCTTCAGGATCTGTCCTTCCAGTGAGTACTCAGGGCTGATTTCCTTAAGAATGGATGGTTTGATCTTATTGCAGTCCATGGGACTCTCAAGAAT